TAAAATCAACCGGCGCGATGGAGCCGCTTCCTGAGCCGCCGCCGTCGCCGGCGGATGCCATCCTGAACGTCTGCCGGCAACTGGCGGACGAGAAGATCACGCTGGCCGAGGCCGTCGCACACGCCGCGACACAGCGCGCGTCGCTGGACAAGCTCGACGCCGAGCTGCTGAGCCGCCTCGTCGGCGCGCTCTGCGACGGCGCCGCGGCGACGCAATCGCCGAGCGACGGCCGCGACGCGCTGGCGCTGGCCGTGGAGTGCTGCGCCGTCGACGGCGTGTCCGCGCGGCGCTGCGACGCGCGCGCGCGCGGCGGCTTCGCCGGCGAGGTCTGCCGCCAGGCGGCCGCGCGGCCCGAGGGCGCGGCCTGCCGCGACGTCTTCCGCGCCTTCGGCGCGCTCGTCGCCCAGGGCGGCGCGCCGGCGGAGCGGCTCGCCGGCGACCTCGGCCCCGTCGCGCGGCGCGCGGCGGCCGCGCTCGCCGCCGAGGCCGCGGCCGCCGCGGCCGGCGCGCGCGCCGCGCCGCCGGGCCTCGACAAGCAGGCCGCGCCGGCGAAGCCCCGGCGGCGCCTCGGCCCGTCGCGCGGCGGCGCCGCGGCGGCGAAGGCGCCGCCGAAGCCCGAGTTCTTCGACGCGCTCGACGCCGTCGCCGCGGCCGCGCGCCTCGCTCCGAACGCGATGCTCGCGCACTGGCGCCTCTTCCTGCCGGCGTCGCGCCGGGGCGCGGCGCCCCTCGCCGCTATCGCCGCCGCCCACGGCGACGCCGCGGCGCGGAGGCGCGCCTGGCTCGCCGTCCGCGCGCTCGTCGAGGGCCCCGGCGGCGTGCGCGTCGTCTGCGCGCGCGCGGGCGACGCGGACGCGAGGAGCGACAGCCGCTTCGGCCCGGCCATCGTCGCGACGATCGGGGCGCTCTACGACGTCGCGGCGGCGCGCGCGACGGCGGAAGACGACGGCGACGTCCTGGGCGCGGTCTTCGGCGCCGCGCAAGGGTTAGCGGCGAACGCGGCGCCGTCCGACGGCCCGGCCTTCGAGGCGCTCCTCGCGCTGCTGAAGCGCGGCGCCGACGTCGCCTTAGATGATGGGAAACACGCGGCGCCGCGGCGCGCGGCGCTCGGCGCGCTCGCGGCGGCGCTCGCCGCGGGGTTCCCGGCGACGCGGCGCGCGTGCTCGGGCGCGTGCGACGGCTTCGGCATCGCGCGGCGCCTCGTCGCCGCGTACGCGATGTTGCCGGAGGCTTTGCGCGGCGACGCCCTCGCCTGCGTCGCCGCCGCCGCGCGGCACCACGGCGACGTCTTGTCGGCGGAGTCGGGCGCGATCTTCGCCGCGGTCGAGGCCGCGTCGACGGAGCGGCTCGAGGCGCCGCGGTACTGGGCCGCGGCGCTCCTCGAGGCGCTGTGCTTCGATCTGGAGGACACGACGCTCGCGGACAAGCTCGGCGCGGACCCGGCTATGGCGGCGAGGCGCGTCGCGGCGTCGTGCCGCGACCCGTCCGCGCGCGTCCGCGGCGCGGGCTGCCGCGCGGGCGCGCTTTTGTTCCCGGCGCTCGACGCGCGCGACGCGTCGACGACGGACCTCGCGCGCGCCGTCGCCGACGTCGCCGCCCGCGACGCCGACGCCGACGCCGCGGCGGCCGCGTGCCGCGCGCTGGGCGTCGCGGCCGCGGCGTACGCGGGCGGGGATCTGGTGGACACCGCGACGGCCGCGCTCGCGCGGCGTCTCGACGGAACGCACGCGCTCGTCGTCCGCGCCCAGGCCGCCTTCGGGCTGGGCTGCGTCGGCCGGGCGCTCTTCGAGCGTCCGGCGCCGCTGTCGACGAGCGCGCGGGCCGCGGCGGCGGCGGCGGCCGGCGCGGTGTTGGGCGCGCTCGGCGACCGGAGCTCCGACGAGGCGCCGTCCGTGAAGGTCGCCGCGTCCGCGCTCCGCGCCGCGGGCTACCTCGTGGCGCTGGACCTGTCGTTCCACGGCCTCGCCGACGCGCTCCTGGCCGCGGCGGCGAGCGCCGTCGACGGCGCGAACCGGAAGACGCGGCGCAACGCGTGCGGCGCGCTCGGCGTCGCGGTCGGCGCGCTCGACGACGGCCGCTTCGCGGCGGCCGCGGCGCTCCTCGTGCGCTTCCTCGCCGTCGGCGAGAACGACGGCGACGACGGCGCCGACGACCGCAAGGCGCTCGCCGCGGCGACGCGGAGCCTCGGCGGCGCCGTCGGTCGCCTCTCGGGGGGCCTGTTCGTCGACGCGCTCCGCGGCGCCGTCACGGCGCTCCGGCGCGCGGACGGCGACGGGCCCTTCCCCCGCGCGGCCGCGCCGGCGGCCGCCGGCCGGAGGCGCGGGTCCCGCGAGCCGCGGCGGCCCGACGAGCCGCGGCAGCGGGCCGCGCTCTTCGACGCGCTCGGGGCCCTCGCGGCGGCGCTCCTCGAGGCCGCGGGCGCGGACGCGCTCGTCGCCGCGGACCTGGCGCACCACCTCGACTTCCTCTACGTCTGGCTCTGCTCGCGCGTCGCGGACGGGGGGGACCCGAGTGCCGTGCCGCGCCTGCTGGACAAGCTCGCGTCGGCGCTCGCGGCCGACGGGGCCCTCGCGGCGACGCTCGACAAGTTCGCCGCGCGCGCGCGGCTCCTGCGCCGCGGCGCCTGCGACGACGACGAGGAGCTCTAATTCGTTCGCGGCTAGGGCTGCGCGAGGGTGATCTCGAGGAAGTCGGCGAAGAGCGTCGACGACGCGGACTCGAAGACCGCGTCGTGGAGGAAGCGCTCGAGGAGGAAGCACTTGAGCGCGAGGTAGTCGCGGTCGAGGCAGCGGAACCAGCGCTGGCGGCGCCGGAGGCAGCGCCAGGACCAGAGCGTGTTCTGGTAGTCGTCCTTGTCCAAGGTCTTGCTGATCTTGTCGTGGAGCGCCGTGAAGTGCGCGAAGCGGCGCCAGAGGCCGAACGTCACGGCGCCGAGCCGCGCGACCACCAGATACTCCGCGTGCGACTTGCCGCCCTTGCGCACGATCTGGTACTTGGGGATGCGGATCATGATGGACGTCAGCTCGCCGCAGCAGTCGCAGCGCCAGGACTTGGTCACGGACGTGCCGAAGGGCGACGACTCCCGGAGGAGGAGCTGCGCGCCGCCGACCTCGACCGGCGCGCGGTCGCAGACTAGAGCCCGCCGCCGCTTCGAGTTCGAGTCGGACCGCGCCTCGCCGCCCGACGCCTGGGAGTTGGCCAGGTTCTGGGCCCAGAGCTCCTCGAACTGGCGCCGCTCGTGCGCGGGCTGCGCGGGCCGGCAGCCCGCGGTCGAGTGCCACAGCGCTTGATTGGCTAGACTGTCCTCGAGCACGTAGTCGGGCGTCTCGCGGTTGGACAGGGCCGTAGCGTCGAGGCGGTAGGCGCTGTCGCCGGGCGTGCCCTCGCAGTCCTTGTAGAAGCCCCAGCCGCCCGCGTCCGACCTGGGCAGGACAAGAGTGCGAAATTCCCAACTTCAAAGGCTCCTCTCTCGGCCGGTTTCCACTCGTTTCGGCTGACTTTTGGACGAGCGATCATCTCTCGGAATGGTCTCGAAGCGTGGATGCTGTTTCCAGAACGGGCGCGCGCGGAACACTCACGTTGAAGCGACGTTGAATCACCCTTGTCCTGCCCTGCGTCCGACGTCTCGCTCTCGCTCTTGCTGAGGCTCGGGTGCATGCCGAGCGACGAGCCGCGGCCGTAGCGCAGCACGTGCTCGGGGGCGTGCGAGATCTCCTTCAGCGCGTTCTCGAGCTCCGCGGGGCAGACGCCGAGGGCCGGCGCGGCGTCCGACGGCGCGCTCCGCGCCGCGGCGGCCGCGGCGACGGCGGCCGCGGGCTCGTCCGGCGCGATGCCGCCGCGCGTCAGCGTGCGCTTCAGGCCGCCGGGCGCGGGGGGCGCCGCCGCCGGCTCCGGCGACGCCGGCGCCTCCTCGGGGGCGTCGTCCCTCGGCACCGCGAAGAAGAGGGGGTCCGACCCCCAGCGCAGCTTGTGGAGCGCGCACATGGGGTCCGACGTCGCGCCGCCGATCTTGAAGGGCAGGTGGCCCGCGCAGGCGACGGCCATCGCGTGCGGCCCCGCGTCGTCACGGCGCTGCGCCGCTCTCCGTACGACTGAGTGGAATACCGGCTGTGCGATTCTGGTGCGCTTTTCTCTCATCCAAATCGATGTCATGCCGTTCAGATATGCCGTTCAGGGCGACGGTGAAGCGAGTTGTCCCCTGTGGATTTGATGCGACTCATCTCGAGATCATGCGACGACTCGTCGTAGCTTTTTTCGCGGCCGCCCTCCCGGCGTGCGCGTCCGCAAAGGACACGACGGTCTTCTACAACGTCTTCTACGACGTCTTCTACCACGTTATCATCCCCCTTTGCTGCGTCAGCTCGTAACGTTATCATCCTTCGCCGCGCGGCGCGCGCGGCGCGTCCTTTTCGGCGCGGCGAACGCGCGTTTCCTCGGCTTTTTCGCGGCGTCGCGGAGGGGCGCCGCGGCGCGCGCGACGAGCGCCGCGGCGACGTCCGCGGCGAAGGCGTCCGCGGCCTCGGGCCGCAGGAGCGCCGCGGCGATCAGAGCGCTTGCGACGGCGTCCGCGTCCGGCAGCAGCGCGCCCGAGACGGCGTCGGCGGCGACGACGACGGGCGCCGTCGGCAGGTCGTCGTACTTGGCCGCCTTCTCCGCGAGGGCGCGGTCGAGGGCGCCGCCGTCGCCGCGCGCGAGGACCGTGACCTCGGCGAAGCGGAACGCGTCGCCGTCTCTCACGGTGACGTCCACGCGGCGGTTCAGCGGCCGCGCCTTCGCCGGCGACGGCTTCAACAGTTCCGGCGGCACGAATCCGTACAGCGGCGCGTCGGCGCGGACCTCGGCGCCCGGCGCGGCGGCGCGCGCGGCGGCGGCGACGACGCGGACGACGGCGTCGTGGCGGTCGCGCCGCGCCGCGTCGTCGCGCGCGTGCGCCTCGACGAGCGCCGCGGCCGCGGCGGGCGCGAGCGCGTCGGCCGCGCCGGGCGCCGCGGCGGAGAGCGCGTCCGCGGCGGCGAGCGCGTCCGCGGCGACGAGCCGGCGCGCGGCGAGCTCGGCGGCGAAGTCGCGCGACCAGCCGAGCGCGCCGGCGGCGCCGACGAGGAACAGATAGCGCATCAGGCCATCGGGGGCCATGTCGGGGGCGCGACGTCGATGAGCGCCTCGACGAAGTCGTTGAGGATGGCGAGCTCCGCCTCCTCGTTGCGGGGCATCAATTCGCTGACGTCGTCGTTCTCGTCGATCTCGCTGAAGGAGTCGAGCTCGGCGCCCGGCTGGTCCGGGGCGCTCTGGTTTACGCCCATTGCAGCGACGCAGCCTGAGACTTTGCCAGTGCAATGCGGCTTCAACGAGCCCTTCAACATCCCTCCCGACGCCGTCAAAAACACGCCCACTTAGTAGTACTTGAAGATGCCCTCCTGCTTCTTCTTCTTCTCCTCGACGCTGTCGCCGTCGCTGTCGCTGTCGCTGTCGGCGCCGTCGCCGCCGAGGGCGTACTGGGAGTCGTCGAGGTCGTCGTCGCCGAAGGTCGTCTTCTTGTTCGAGGGCTTGGCGTGGACGTCGATCTTCAGCTTGGGCGGCTTGGGCCGCGTCGCCGCGAGGCGCGGCGCGTTGGAGAGCGCGTTCCACTTCTTGACCGCGCTGTCGGCCTCCTCCTCGTGGTTCGCGTCGAGCTCCGGGTTCTCCTCGACGTCGTCGGGGATCTTGTCCATGCCGAGCTTGTCGCGGAGCACGTGGTAGATGGCGCCGCGGCGCACGGACGACACGTCCTTGACCTTGATGTTCGACTCGTAGCCGCTGCCGCCCGCGCAGCTCACGACGCACCGCTTCGCGCGGACGTCGTCGGGGCCCAGCTCCACGCGCCACTTGACGCCGACGGCCTCCCAGAACTGGAGCTTCTGGCCCGGCGACTTCTTGTGCGTGCGGTCGACCCAGACGTCGAGCTTGACCTTGGTGTCGCCGACCTTGGCGATCAAACGCTTGATGCGCTCGGCCTCGCCGACGACGGCGTCCTCCTCGCCGGGCCGCGTGCGCCAGAAGATGGGCACGATGACGACGTCGTGCACGGTCCGCCCGGCGGCCTCGGCGGCGAGCTCGTCCTCCGCCTCGCGCTTCCGCTTGAACTCGTTGCGCCCTTTCCCCGCGAACTCGCGCTTGCGCCACGCCGCGCCGCCGCCGGAGCTCGCCTTGGCGCCGCTGTTATTGGGCTTCTTCGGCTCGGGGGCGACGCCCGCGGCGACGTCGCGCTTCCGCTTCTTGCGCTCCTTCTTCGTCGGCGCGCCGGCGGCCTGGCGCAGCTTCGCCGCGGCCTGCGCCGCCTTTTGCTTCTCGCGCCGCGCGAGCTCCGCGGGAGTGAGGGTCTTGGTGCTCATAGGTGCTGAGGCGATTACGAGGCGTCGCGCGTCGACACCGACGCGCAGGACCTCGAGGCTGGGCGGAGCCGAAGCACCTCGAAGCTCGCCAGAGGCACTTTGCCGTCAATATAGCAGCCCGCAGCTAAGTTGAAGGCGCTCGTGGCATGAATGGCAGCCCTCGTGTACGAGAACACGGCGCTCTCGTCGGCGGACCTCCAGACCTTCATCGTCGACGGCTACCTCGTCCTGCCGCCGGACCCGGCCGTCGACCACGGCGCCATCTTCGCCGAGCTCGACGCGCTGCGCCTCCCGTCGTCGCCCTTCGCCGAGGGCAACCTGGGCAACAACGTGCTCCCCGCCGTGCCCGAGCTGCTGCGCGTCGCGGCATCCCCCGCCGTGCGCGGCGCCCTGGAGGCGATCCTCGGCGCGGGCTACCTCCTGCTGCCGCACCGGACCGCGCACCGGTCGAACGAAGCGCCGCAAGCGTGGCATCGCGACTACTTCGCCGGCGAGCCGCGGCCCCACAGCGCGGCGCCCTACCACGCGCAGCTCTTCTACTACCCGCAGGCCGTGCCGGAGGCGCTGGGCCCCACGGAGGTGCTGCCGCGGTCGCAGTACTACGGCAACGACGACCCGGACGGCGCGTCGGAATTCTCGAGCGCGCGCGGCCTCGTCGACGAGTGGGGGTTGACGCCCCGCAAGCTCGTCGTCGAGGCCGGCGCCGTCGCGCTCGTGCACTACGGGCTCTGGCACCGCGGCGGCGCGAACGCGACGCTGGGGACCGAGGACGAGCGGCCGCGCTACCTCGTCCGCCTCGAGTTCTCGCGCTTGGCGCCGCCGGCGCCGGCGCCGCGGTGCCTGGCCCGCGCCTGGCCCGCCGACGACCGCGGCCTTCGATCGCTCTGGTGGTTCGTGTGGGATTGGCTCGCGTGGAATCCCGACGAAATGAGAGATGCGCAGACAGTTTTCCCGGCGCTAGAAGGCGAGCCCGAGCGCGTCGCGCTCGCTGCCGCCGCCGCGGCGCTGGCGCGGCCCCAGCCAGAAGGATACGCCGCCGTGTGTGACCCCAGGAGCAGGACCCGGGCGTTGCGGCGCATGTCCGCGCAGTCCGCCGAATGGACGGGCGCGGTCGTTCTCCCAGCTCTCCTCGCGCGGCGCGACCACCTGTCGGAGTCGCCGGCCCTCGTCGTCGCCCTCGGCCGCATCTGCGACGGCGGCGGCGGCTCGCAGCGCAACCGGACCCTCGCGGCGCTCACGCTGCGGCCCCTCGCCGAGAGCCGCTCCGTCGACGTCGCCGTCTGCGCGGCCGAGGCGCTCGGCTGCCTCCGCGGCGTGCCCGAGGCCGCGGACGCGCTCCTCCGCGCCGTCGAGCGGCGGCCGAGCGACGACGCCCGGGTCGCCGCGCTCCACGGCCTGCTCCGCCACCTGCCGGCGCTCTCGACGGCACATCGAAAACGCTTCCGGGCCGCGTGCGTCGCGTGCGCGGGCGACGGGTCCCACCGCTACGTCGCGGCCTTTGGCTGCGAGGGCCTCCACCGGCTCCGCTTCCCCTTCGACGCCACGCCGCCGCTCCTGCGCTGGGACCCCTTCGGCGGCCGCGGCTGGTAAATTAAACTCATCGCGCGGCGTCCAAGGCGATGATGACGTGGTGCTTCTCGATGGCGAGGCGCACGTCGACCGCGTGGTCGAAGGCGATCTTCTTCAGCTCGCCGATGGACAGCTTCTCGAGGGCGTCGTGCTCCGGGATGCCCGGCGCGACGTATAAAGCGCACTTGTTGCGGATCGCGGAGAAGGCCTCGGCGTCCTTCTTGCACGCCTCCAAGCCGAGCACCGCGCCGTACAGCTCCAGGGCCGACTTCTCGCCGGCTTTCGTCGTGGGCGCCGGCGCGGCGAGCGTGAGCTGGATCATGGTCTTCGAGTAGAGCATGCTGTGGTCCGCGTGGACGTTGGACCGCACCATGGCCGCCGTCTCCGACAGGTCCTCGAGGCAGGCGTCGGCGCCCTTCTCGCCCTTGTTGAAGGCGTCGAGCGAGTCCTGGGCCTCGTCGAGGGAGCTCGGCACGAGCGCGTGCGCGTAGCACGCCGCGTGCATCGACGCCATGGCGTTCGAAGGACGCCGCCAACCGATCGATCGACGCGCCGGGCGCGGCGCGGGCTGCCTCGACGACGCACTTTTGGCCTACTTGCTCAGCACGTTGAGGCAGCTCTCACGAGGCCGGCCCTCAACTCGCACACTCAGCCTTCCGTCGTCGACGAGCTGCAGTCGCGAGCCATGGCTCGGCGCGCCGTGCTCGCGGTCGTCGCCCTGTGCACGGTCGTCGGCGGCCTCGTCGCGCCGCCCGCGGCCGTCCGGCGCGCCCGCCGCCACGAGGCCATCCTCACGGTGGGCACGCCGCTGCGCTGGCCCGACGCCGTGGACAAGCTGGCCTACGTGCGCGAGCACGGCATCGCCCAGTTCATCGAGATGATGAAGCGGAGCGATGCGCTCGACCGGTCCGACGAGCTGCTCTGGGGCGACGAGCTCGAGTACGCGGTGCTCCGGGTCCACGACGATTTCGCGCGCGCGTCGCTCCGGGGCCCGGAGATCCGCGACTGGCTCATCGAGAAGGAGGACCTGCACGCCTACCGCACGGAGGGCTGCGCCTGGATGCCCGAGTACGGCCGCTGGATGCTCGAGGGCACGCCGCGGCGGCCCTACGGCGGCTACGCCGCGGACTTGGTAAGAGTGGAGAGGAACATGCGGCTCCGGCGGCGGCGCTTATTGAGCGCGCTGCGCGACGACGAGATCTGCCCGACGCTCGTGACCTTCCCGGGCTTCGGCGTCGGCGACTTCTGCGAGCTCGCGGACGGCACCGTGCCGCCGGCCGGCGGCGACGTCGCGCGGTCCGCGACGGTGCCGGACGCGGCGATCCACCCGCACCCGCGCTTCGCCGCGCTGACGGCGAACATCCGCGACCGGCGGGGCGACGGCAACGTCCACTTCGCGCCGCCGCGCTTCGTCGACGCGGAGACGCCCGCCGACGCGCCGGCGACGATCGAGGGCCTGGACGCGATGGCCTACGGCATGGGCTGCTGCTGTCTGCAGGTCACCTTCCAGGCGCGCGACGCCACGGAGGCGCGCTACTGCTACGACCAGCTCGCGGCGTTGGCGCCCGTCATGCTCGCGCTGACGGCCGCGGCGCCCGCGTGGCGCGGCGCGCTCGCCGACAGCGACGCGCGCTGGGACGTCGTCGCGGCGTCCGTCGACGACCGCACGCCGTCGGAAGCGGGCCGGGGCCGGTCGCCGGCGGACCCGCGCCTCGTCGCCGGCGGCACGCGGCCGTTGCCGCGGAGCCGCTACTCGTCGATCTCGCGGTACGCGTTCGAGTGCGACGCGGGCGGGCAGGTGAAGCGGTTCTGCGACGTCGACGCGCCCGTGGACGCCAAGGCGCTGGAGACGCTGCTGGCGGCGGGCATCGACGAGGCGCTGGCGCGGCACGTCGCGCACCTCTTCGTGCGCGACCCTTTGGTGCTCTTCGAGGGCATGGTCGAGGAGCTCGACGACGCCGTCGCGACGGACCACTTCGACAACCTCCAGTCGACGAACTGGAACACGGTGCGCCTCAAGCCGCCCGTCGGGCTGAACCCGGAGGGCGAGCCGGGCTGGCGCACGGAGTTCCGGCCCATGGAGGTCCAGCTCACGGATTTCGAGAACGCGGCGTTCTCCGTGTTCACGGTGCTGGTCACGCGCGTCATCCTCGCCTTCGACCTGTCGCTCTACGTGCCCCTGAGCCGCGTCGACGCGAACATGCGCCGCGCCCAGCGGCGCGACGCCGTCAACGTCGAGAAGTTCTACTTCCGGCGCCAACTCGCGCCGACGGAGAACGAGCAGAACAAGTTCAACAACTGCTGCGGCGGCGAGGACGACGACGTCTTCGAGGAGATGACCTGCGCGGAGATCATCGACGGCAAGGGCGACTACTTCCCGGGTCTGGCGCCCCTGGCCTACGCCTACCTGGACCACATCGGCTGCGACCAGGGCACGTTCGCCCGCATCTCCGACTACATCGAGCTCGTGCGCAAGAAGGCGCGCGGCGAGGCCTGGACGGGCGCCAAGTGGATCCGCGAGTTCGTCACGAACCACCCGGAATACGCGCGGGACAGCGTGATCTCGCCCAAGGTCGCGCGGGACCTCGCCGTCGCCGCGCACGAGGTCGGCGTCGGCGCGCGCGACGCCAAGGCGCTCACGGGCGGCGTCGCGATCAAGCCCGTCAGCGCCGACGGCGCCTGGGACACGAGGCTGTCGCCGGACAAGATCCCCACGGCCGACGAGCGGAAGAAGCTCCTCCTCAAGTACGCGAAGCGCGGGCCCTTCGAGGGCAAGTTCGACCCCGTCTTCTGGAGCTAGGGGCGCGCGCCCGGGGGGGGGGGTCGTAAGACCATCTCCCGCTAAGCAAGGAACTACCCCCTGCCGCCTCTGGTTACGAGCGCTGAAGGCGCGCGCGTCGACCGCCTCAAGCGCCGCCCCGCTGCCGCTCAAAGTGCGCGCCTACGGCCGCGCTTGGGTTCGTCGTGGGTTGAACGTTGAGGCCCTTCAAGTTTTCGGCTGTGAGATCCTGCAGGAGCTTCACGTAATCACCGCACGCTGACTTGTTGCACGCGGCTTGATCCACGAGGGCCATCACGGTGACACCAGAGCCGCGCTTGCTGTGCGCGACCAGATGGAGGTCTACTCGCGACACGATTCGCGTCGCCGGCCCGCCGCAGCACCCACAGCGCCAATCGTCGCGCAGAGCAAGCTTCGCACCATCATACTTGAGGACTAAATCATCCATGAGCCAGCTGCCCTTCGTCTGATCTGTCCAGTCGCGAGCCGTCGTCTTGCTCTCGATGGCCTCCTTGAATTCGTACTTTGTCTCACGCTTCCCGTCTCCTTTCCCGTCGTTGACCGTGCCCTGATAAGATAACTTGCACCGACCCGTGCACTCGCGTTTGTGCTCAGACCAGTGCGATCGCTGACACGTCGGACCGCAGTAGAATTCGCGACGACATGCCGAGCACGACGAAACGCCGGGCTTGCCGCAGACCGCGCACAGCTTCGGGGTCGTCGTCGTCGAGGCGGGCCCCGTGTCCGCGGCGTCGTCCGGCATCGTCGAGGTCACGCCCGTGCACCCCCCTAGTCCGCCTGAATGAGCCCCGAAGGTCACGCCCGTGTCCGCGGCGTCGTCCGGCGGAGAAGACTTAGTCGCATCCTTGGTCGGGCGAACTCGTCGACTCTTCTTACCCATTTTTTCAAGGCGTAGCTGCGTCCTTCTCGAGCGGTTTTATCGCGGCGCCAAAATGTCCACAGCCACCAAAAAATTATTAAATTTGCAAAGCAGAGTCGCCAAGACGAGTCAGTCTCGAGACCGGGCTCCTGGGCGAACCAGAGAGCCTGCTTACACCCCGGCGTGTCTACCCGAATGTCTTCTCGAAGTCGGCCTTGAGCCGCAGGATGGTCTCGTCCTCGGACGTTCGCTACGATACGAATTTTAGCGCAGGGGCGCGGCGTCGGCGATGGCCGCGAGGGCGCCCTTGGGCACCATGCCGCCCGGCGCGATGTGGGCGGGAGGCTCGGCGACGCCGCCGAGGTCGACGGGGAGCGTCTCCTTCGGGATGTACTTGAGGAGCGTCGTCGCGAAGTCGTCGCCGAGGATCGCGACCTTGGACGCCGTCGTCTCGTTGAGCAGGGGCTTCACCAAGGCGTACAAGCTCGCGAAGATCCAGGGCGCGCGGACGATGAAGACGTGCTTGAGCCGCTCGGGGTAGTTGGGCTCGCAGACCTTCATCATGGCCCCGAAGGCCGGCACGCCGCGCACGTGGCGCGCGCCGAGGCCCCGCATGTCCATGATGATGGAGCAGGACGTCTCCAGCGTGCCCCGGTCCGCGCTCAGGCCCCGCAGGGTCGCGAAGCAGGCCTCGTTGAGCTTCGCGCAGTGCGCGACGAACGCGTCCCTCCCGACCTCGCGCTCGATGCCGGGGATGTCCGACGCGCCGAGGCGCAGGAGCTGCACGGGCAGGCCGCTCCGGTCGCCGCCCCGCAGCACGCCGTCGGGCCACCAGGCCTCGAGGAACGCGTCCTCGGCGCCCCGGGGCTTCGCGACGAGCGCGTCGATGTTCGAGGACGCGCGCCACGCGCCGTGCGCGAGCAGCATGGCCTCGGCCTTGGCCACGTCGCCGTCCCGCGCCCGGAGGAAGCGCACAAGCGTCGCGTCGTCCGTGAGCCAGCCGTGGGTCGCCAACGAGTCGTCGTCCTCGACGCGGCTCCGGAGCGCCTCGACGCCGTCGCGCTCGCGGCGGCTCAGCGGGTCCGGCCCGCCGCGCCGCGGGCTCCCCGGCGCCTGCGCCGGCGCCGCGGCGCGCAGCGCCTCGGCCCACAGGCCCGCGATGTGGCCGTCGGGCGCCCGCACGGTCAGCCGCGCGGCGCCGTAGGTGACCGTGATCTCCGAGTCGGCGCCCTCGTCGACCTGCGCGGACGTCGACCGGTGAGTTCAGAACTCTCTCGCTCGGTCGCATCGACGTTGATTCGGCTGGTGTGCTCTCGTGGAGTTTTGGAAGCGTCTGGTCCAGACCGTTCACATTGAAGTCGGATCGAAGACGCGAGTTCCGCGCGGCCGTCGACGGCGGTCACGTCCGAGAGCGCGACGGCAAACTTGACGCGCCGCGGCGCCTTCTTGCGGTCGCCGCGGCCGCCGAGGTAGGCCAGGTGCGTCTCCGAGAGCACGAAGTAGCGCTGCTGCCAGCGGCCCTTGCTGCTGAGCTTCTCGAGGGGGCCCTCGCGCGCGCTCCGCGCCTCGTCGCATCCGCACGCGGCGCCGAGGCGCTCCATGGCGCCCGTCGACTCGGCGCGCAGGGCGCCGGCGTCGTTCGCCGGGCCGTCGCGGTCGCCGCGCGGGCTGCCGCCGGGCGGCGCCGGCGGCGCGCCGGCGGGCACCTCGAGGGAGCCCAGGGCCACCTCGTAGCCGGCCTTCGTCGGGATGCCCGACCCGCGCACGACGAACCACGCCGCGACGAACAGCGACAGCAGGAGCAGCAGCCAGGTCACGGCCTCCATCGCGCGATGCGGGCAGCCACTCTCTCGTTAAGTTGTGCGAGGCTGCCCACGTCGCATTGCTGGAATGAATCGCGCACTTCCCAGGCCAAGGGGTAATAAATAGTCTAGATTTATATCCCCTTGCCCAGGCGCCGATACGGCCGCAAGTTGAGCGTCAACCTTACCCTGGGGTCGCAATCGCGATGGCTCGACGATTTTTTGTACAACTCGTCGTCGCTGCGAGCGCGCTCGCCGGCGCCGCTGGCGCCACTGCGCGCGGTTCGGATCGCCGCATCGCGTTGCACCGCTACGCGACGCGACGGCGCTGCGCCGGCGGCGCGACGGCCGAGGAGGAGGAGGAGGCATCGCCGGCGGAGGCCGCGGCGGAGCCGGAGGCCGCAGCGGAGCCGGAGGCCGCGGCGGAGCCGGAGGCGCCGGCCTACGACGAGGCCGCCGCGGACGCGTTGATCGCGCGCGTCGCGGCGTCGACGCCGGCCGCGCCCTGCGACTTCGGCGCCGCCGCCTTCGTCGCGGCGTCGTGCCGCGACGCGGCCGCCGTCGCCGCGGCCGCCGAGAAGCTCCGGAGCGCGCACGACCTGCACCTCGCGACGCTCCGCGCGGAAGCTGCGTCCCGCGAAACTGACACGATAGTCACGAACTCGTCGCAGGCGCCGGCGCGCTCGCGTCCTTCGCCGCCGCGCTCGCGGACCTGCCCCGGCCGCGCGACGCGGCCGACGTCGCGGCGCTCGCCGTGGACACGGAGCTGGACTTCGTCGCCGCGGCGGAGGCGGCGGCGCCGCCGGCCTTCCGCGCGCGCTGGTCCGCGGACGCCGCCATCGCCGCGCTCCGCGACGGCGTCGCCGCGATCGTCGAGGACGACCTCCGCGAGACGGACCTCGACTTCGACGACTCGGAGCTGCCGACGCGCCTCGAGCGCCTCGGCGCCTTCGCGAAGCGCCACCGGGGGCTCGCGCTCCGCGCGGGCAGCCTCGCGCTCAACGTCGTCCAGGCCCGCGTCGCCGTCGCCGCGGCCCGCCGCGCCGCGGAGAAGCGCGACGACGACGTGCCCAAGTTCCCGCTGTTTTAAACGGGTGGTTATGGTTGTTTTGCCGTATCGTGTGCGCGCTTCTGCGCCCTTCAACTTGTCTCGTTGAAGCGCCCAAGACAGAACCACGGCTTCGGAATCTCTTCGGACGATCCGAGCTTGGGTTGAGGATTGCCTCCTGCCTTGTCTAGTGTCCAGCCCGGCAGCCATGCTCAAGTACGCTTGCCTTCTCGCCACCGCCGCGGCCCTCCGGCCCTCCGCTCCCGTCGGTGCGTGAAAATCCTGCCGCAAACCCCGCGCGCGCGCCGCCGCCAGCGATCTGCTGCGAGCGCCGCTACGCTGCAAGGATATGCGGCGCGCGCGCCCCCGGCACGTACTGAAATAGCACCGTATGCGTCCCGTAGGCACGCGGAGCGGCTTCGGCGGCCGGCGGCTCCAGGCCGACCTGTCGCAGCTCCGCGACGCGTCGTTCGAGAAGACGACGGCCGCGAAGATGACGACGTCGATGCCGCCCTTCCTCAAGAAGCTGGGCATCGATAAGCCCGAGGACGCGGTCCAGATGCTCAAGGACAAGGCCGCGGACCTCGACGTGAGCTCAGCGACGGCCTTCGCGGAGAAGAACCTCGACATCGTCAAGGCCAAGCAGTCGGCCGCGCTCGTCGACGTCGCCGCCGCCGCGGCCTGCGGCCTCCTCTTCGCCGGCGTCTACGGCGCCGTCGTCTTCGCCCTGGGCTGGTTCGTCGCCGCGCCGCGCACGGCGGCCTACGACGCGGACAGCGACGACTACACGTCCTGCATCGAGTCGACGCTGCCGGGCGCCGTCGTCGGCGGCCTCATCGGCATGCTCCTGACGCTGAAGATTTTCAACCCGCTCACGGACGTCTTCGCCGTCCTCCTCCTCGCCATCTTCACCGCCGGCGGCCGCGGCGGCAAGCTCTACCTCGACTCGAACAAGATGCCCGCCGTCGACGACCTCACGAACGTGAACGTCGGCTCGCTCAAGTGGCCCGAGTTCTAGGCTCCGGCGCCCAAGCAGCGCGCATCATCATCTAAGAAGAGTGTGATACGTACGAGCAGCAAAAACAAAATTAGGAGAGGCCCGGCCTACTTGGGCCGCCAGCCGAGGCGCCGCGCGATGAGCGGCGTGCACACGAGCGTCAGGATTGTCCGCGGGATGCCCGTGAGCGTGATGGTGAGGCCGTAGGCGATGAGGAGCGACGACGCGCCCGGCGTGAGCACGTCCGACGTGTCGAGGCCCGTGGCGTCGTGGAACATGCTGAGCAGCGCGGCGACGTCCATGCCCGTCGACACCGCGTAGTAGAAGCCGCCGAGGACGATGACTTCGACGCCGATGTGGAATCCCAAGGCCAACGGGCCGTAGGCGTAGAGGAGCCGCTTGAGCTGCTCCGAGTAGCTCAGGTTCCTCTCGGCGACCCACTCCGCGTGCTCGCCCTGCCGCTCCCTCAAGTCGTCGACGCGCGCCTGGCCCCGCTCCTTCAAGTCGTCGACGCGCGCCTGGCCGCGCTCGCGCAGGCCGTCGACGCGCGCCTGGCCGCGCTCCCTCAAGCCGTCGACGCGCTCCTTGAGGTCGTCGACGCCCGCGCGCACGCGCTCTCGACGCGTCGGCGCGTCCGAATCGTCGCCGCCGCGGCTCGGCCCGCTGGGACTCGTGCTCACGCATCGCTGCGCGAGATATCGATCGCGCTGGTCGAGGCACGCGAGCGGCCGAGCGCTGACGTGGACGGCGCGATGCTGGACGGCGCGATTCTGCAGGAATCTGGAGGCTCGCAGCGAGCCCGGCGACGCCGCGCGTCGCACGCCGAGTCTTAGCATCGTTTGAGGCGTTACACAGCTACGTTGCTTACGCCTCGCGCGCGGCGAGGACCGAGCACATTTCGAATCTCCATGCTGCCATCGGCAGATTATCGGCTCGCTCAAAAAAACACCACAGCCTGTGGCAGGCGCGCAGCCGACATGGCGGCGCTCGAGGATGCGCGCGTCCCGCTCAAGGCGGCGCTCGAGGATGCGCGCGTCCCGCTCAAGTACTACGTGTCGCCGCGGGAGACGGCCCAGGAGCGCGTCGGCGGCGCGCTGGACGAGCTCGCGAAGCGCCACGCGCTGCTTGAGGTGGAGCGCGTGAGCGAGCCCGGCGACGCGGACCTCATCTGGCTCAACACGCCGTCCAAGGCGGCGAAGGCGGCCTGCCGCGACTGCGCGCACTACAACCACGTCGCCGGCGCGCGGGCGGCCCTCGAGGACAAGTGCCGCATGGGCGAGCTCCAGCGGCGCATGGGCGAGCGGACCCTGAGGAGCGAGACGTTCGCGGATCGGGGCGCGCTCCGCGCGTGGGTCGCCAAACACGGGCCGGCCCTGGACGGGGGCTGGGTCGTCAAGGACGCGACGGCGAACTCGGGCGTCGGCCTCTGGTTCGCGGCGTCGCCCGGCGACCTCGCCGCGCTCGCGGCCTCGGACGCCGTCGACGCGCGCGGCGAGGTCGTGCTGCAACAGTACCTGGAGAGGCCCATGCTCTGGCGCGGGCGCAAGCTCCAGTTCCGCGTCTACGCCGTCTGGCAGGGCCGGTCCTGCTTCCTGTACGCCGGCGCCATGGCCCAGGTCTGCGCGGCGCCCTACGCGGCGCCCGTGGCCGGCGAGGCTCTGGCCGGGACCGCGCACGTCACGAACGTCTCCGTGAACAAGGACGCGGACGAGGCCGCGGGCGGCGCCTTCGTGCCCGAGCGGCCCATCTTGGACCTGGCGGCGGCCCACCCGGCGCAGTTCGCGGCCATGAAGCGGGTCTTGCGGTCCCTGAGCCGCGCGTGCGCTCCGGGCCTCGCGCCGGCCGCCGCGGGGCGGAACCGCTTCGAGCTCGTCGGCGTCGACTTCCTCTGCGACGACGACGCCGCGGATCCCCACGCCTGGCTCGTCGAGTGCAACTGCCCGCCGAACAGCGCGGGGTCCGCGGCGGAGGGGCCCATCGAGGCCTTCCACCACGCGTTGATGGTCGACGTTTTGGACCGCTTCGTCGTCGGCGGGTCCGCGCGCGGCCGCTGGGTCGCCGTCGACGCCGGCGCGCCGGACGTCGGGCCCAAGGCCTTCAGCGAGCGCTTCGGGCCGTCCCTCTTCTGGAGCAAGTTCGACAAGGCGTCGCAGCGCGTCGCCGCGGCGGCCTACGGCGGCCGAAAAGACGCGCCGCCGCCCGCGGCGTCGACGGCCGTCGCGGCGCGGGCCCGAAAGCGCTTCGCGCTCTACGCTTCGACGCACGGGTCCTCCTTCGACGGGTCCTGGGCCTTCTTCGAGAACGCGGGCGGGTCCCAGGTGCCCGCGGCCGTCGCCGACGCGTGCGCCGGCGCGTTAAACGCGCGCTGGCGCGACGAGCTCGGCGCCGCGGCCAAGGAAAGCGCGCGGGCCTTCGCGGCGGCCTTTCTCGGCGCCTCGGGCCCCTGCTTCTTCGCGGCGAACGCGTCGACGGCCCTCGACACCGTCGCGCGCGCGCTCGACGGGCCCTGGCTCGACGGCGGCGCGATCGTCGTCTGCGACGCGTCGCACGAGGCGAACGTCGTCCCCTGGCTGCGCCTCGCGGCGGGCCGCGAGCTCCGCACCTGGCGCGTCGACGGCGCGGCGGGCGCGCCGGACCTCGCGGCGCTCGACGGCCTGCTCGACGACGCGGTGCGAGTGGTCGCGGTGCCGCACGCGTCGAACGTTACCGGCGACGTCTACGACGCGGCGACGGTCGTCGCCAAGGTCCGCGCCAGTTGCCCCGGCGCGCTCGTGATCGTCGACGGCGTCGCCTACGCGCCCCACCGCCGCGCCGACGCCGCCGGGCTCGAGGCGGACTGCTACGTCTGCGCGTTCCACAAGGCCTTCGGCCCGCATCTCGCGGCCGCGGCGCTGAGCTCGCGATTGATCGACCGCGTCGCACGCTTCCCGGCGCCGGGCGCGGGCGCGCGGGCCTTGGAGGTCGGCACCGTGTCCGCGGAGGCCTGCGCGGGCGTCGCGGCGCTCCGGAGCTACGTCGAGGCCGCGGCCGCGGACTCGCGGCCGTGCGACGCGCTCGACGACGCGCTCGACGCCTTCTACGAGGGCGTCGCGCTCGCCGAGGCCGCGCCGCTGGCGCGGCTCCTGGCGTTCCTGGACGCGGCGCCCCGGGCGACGGTGCTCCGGGGCGCGGGCGCCGTCGACAAGCTGCCGACCGTCGCCTTCTCCCACGCGAACCTCGCGCCGGCGGCCGTCGTCGCCGAGGCCCGGCACCACAAGATCGCGCTGCGCTGCGGCGATTTCCTATCGCCGCGGCTCCTCGACGCCGTCTTGCCCGCGGACGCGCGGCCCGCGGGCGTCGTCCGCGTCTCGCTCGCGCACTACAACACCGTGGCCGAGGTCGACCGGCTCTGCGCGGCCCTCGAGCGCATGGAGAAGTGGTAAGGTTTTCTGTTTTTTTTTCTTTTTCTCGGACTCAGCCATGCTCTCCGTTCGCGAAGGGCTGCGCTAGGGCTGCGCGGCGCGAGCCGCCTTGAACTGTAACTTGAAACTTCAATCGATTCTTTTGGTCCGGGCTCACCGCCGCCGAAGAGTGTCGAGACGGACCCAGGCCCCTCGCAGCGCAGCGCACGCCGACGACCATGGCATCGACCCTCATCGTGGAGAACGCGCCGGCGAAGTCGCTGGCGTACGCGAACCGCGTCTACCTGCACCCGAGCGATTTCGCGGCCTTCAAGAGCGCGTCGCCGGCCCAGGGCGTCGCCGACGACTGCTGCCTGCTGCTGCTGCGCGGCGGCGGCGGCGACTGGGTCTTCGCGGCGTCGGCCTACCCGACCATGGCCGCGGGCAAGCTGGGCATCGCGTCCGTGCAGCGGCGCACGACGGGCCTCGAGATCGACGCGGCCGTCGAGGTCGCGCCGTTCACGCCGACGCTCGACACGCTCCTCGGCAAGCTCCGCGTGAGCATCGCGCCCTTCAAGGCCGACGCGTCCGCGGACGTCGACGCCGCGGAGGTCGGCGCCTACTTCACGCGCGAGTTCGGCTGCCAGGTCTTCGCGGTGGGCCAGCAGCTCGCGATCGCGTTCAAGAAAAATGCTCTGATCGCGACCGTCGAGGGCCTCGACTTCGGCGTCGGCGACCTTGAGAGCGGCGGCCGCTTCGGCCAGGTGGTGCCGGGCGTGACCCAGGTCCTGCCCTTCAAGGAGCGCGACGACGACTACCCGAACTTCCAACTGAGCAACGTCGCTGACGAGGGCGCGGCGGTCGACCTGAAGCGCGCGGTCAGTGAGATCGACTGGAAGTTTCCTTTGAAGAAGCTCTCGAAGTTTGGCTTTATCATGTTTTTTATCCAAACCATGGAACGTCTTTGGGAATATCTTTTACCCGCTCGAAAGGCTCTTCCGGGCGATTTCTTTCTCGGGATGTGTTTCGCTTTCCTCCTTCTTGAGATCAAGGAAAAGCCGCGCGCGCAGTAAAGCCCCGCTGCCGCGCCGCGGCCCGCGCGCGAACCTCCCCGGTGACATGCCCCCAGTAAGACTCCCGAACCACGAACCCCGCGCCGTTGGTCGGCGTGGAGACCCGTCCCACTTTACTCGCGCATGAGCGCCTCGAACGCGTCGAGCTCCGCCTGCTTCGCCGGGGAGACGGCGTCAGTCGTGTAGCGGAAGTGGGGCTCGTTGGCGTCGCGGGGCGGCGTGTAGAGGCCGAGGGGCGCGAGGCGCGAGGACCGCTGCTGCTTGAACTCCATCTGGCCGGCCTTGCGCCAGTGGACCGCGTCGGGCCCGTCGGCGATGCGGAGGATGCGCGCCGCGGCGAAGATGTGGACGAGGGGCGTGTCCGCGCAGAGCCCCGCGGCGCCGTGGAGCTGCATGGCCTGGTCCGCGATCCGCTGGAGCGTCGCGGGCACCAACGCCTTGACGATGGAGAGGAGCTGGCGCGTGTGCGCGTCCGTGTTGCCCTTGGCGTCCATGAGGTGCGCCGCCTCGCGCACGAGGTGGCGCGCGGCGTCGATGTCGCCGCGCGCGCGCGCGACGTCCTCGAGCACGCCGTCGCGCGCGGCGAGCGGCTTGCCGAAGGCGACGCGCGACTCGGCGCGCGCGCACATGAGCGAGAGCGCGCGCTCGCACTGGCCGATGGCGCGCATGCAGTGGTGGATGCGGCCCGGCCCCAGGCGCCGCTGGGCGATCTCGAAGCCCTTGCCCGGCTCCCAGAGGACGGAGTCTTTCGGCACGCGCAAATCCTCGAAGACCATCTCCATGTGGCCTTTGGGGGCGTCGTCGTCGCCGAAGACCGTCAACGGCCGCACGAGCCGGATGCCCGGCGCGTCCATGGGCACGAGGAGCATGGACTGCTGCGCGTGGGGCGGCGCGTCCACGTCCGTCTTGCCCATGAGGATCATGACCTTGCAGTGCAAGGAACCGGCGCCCGTGATCCACCACTTGCGGCCGTTGACGACGTAGTCGTCGCCGTCGCCGCGGATGTCGACGCTCACGTTCGTCGCGTCGGAGGACGCGACGTCGGGCTCCGTCATGGCGAAGCACGACCGGATTTCGCCCGCGAGGAGCGGGTCGAGCCACCGCCGCTTCTGCTCCTCGGACCCGAAGCGCGCGATCGTCTCCATGTTGCCCGTGTCCGGCGACGTGCAGTTCGTCGCCTGGGCGGCGAACTCCGCGTGCACCGACGTGCCCATGATCTCGCAGAGGTCCGCGTACTGCAGGTTCGTCAGGCCGCCGCCGTACTTGCCGCCGACGAGCGCGGCCGTGTCGGCCGGCAGGAACAGATTCCAGAGCCCCGCGGCCTTGGCCTCGCGCATGAGGTCGATGATCAAGGGCGGGTGCGTCCACTCGCTCGTGCCTTTGCCCTGGGCGTGGCACTGCTTCAGGAACTCGACCTCGTTGGGGTAGATGCGCTCGTGCATGAACTCGAGGAGCGTCGCCTTGAGGGCGCCGAAGGCCTCGTCGGAGACGCCGCCGGCGGCGGCCGGGGCGGCGGCGGGCAGGGCGCTGAAGGACCGCGCCGCGCGCGCGACCGTGCTGCCGCGGGAGCGAGTCGCCGCGACGGTGCGCGCGAGCAGCAAGGCATGGGCGGCAGCCATCGCGCCCCAGCTCTCTGCCACAGCAGATCCACTCGCCGACGATGGCCAGCCTTCTCGCGGAGCTGGCAGTTGACAGCGACAGCGACGCGTCGTCCGAGGCGCCGACGCGGAGCCGACGGCGGCGCGCGACGGCCGCCGACGACAGCGCGAGCGCGTCGGACCGCAGCGACGAGGAGGCCGAGGCCCAGGAGGCCCAGGAGGAGGAGGAAGACGACGACGACGACGACGACGGCGGCGGCGATACCGACGACGCGGACGAGGAGGACGACGAGGAGGAGGAGGACGGCGACAGCATCAGCGTCGAGGCGGAGCCGGCGCCGCCGCGGAAGCCGAAGAACCCGGCGACGGTGCCGCGCGGCGGCGTCTTCTACCTGCACGACGAGCGCGACGGCGGCGACGGCGCGCCGGCGCCGGGGTCGTCGAAGCGCGCCGCCGAGGCGCGCCTGAGCGGCGCGCCCGTCGACCCCGCGGACGGCCCGGACGCGCGCCGCGAGCTCGTCGACGTGTCGCGAGACTCCGGCGGCGGCGGCGGCCGGCGCCGCAAGGAAGAGGGCGGCGGCGACGAGCGCTGGTGCCACGACAAATTCGAGGAGCTCGTCGCCGCGGAGCCGAACCCGCCGCCGCCGCGGGCCGCGCCCGCGGCCGGCCGCGGCGCGCGCGGCCGCGGCGGCGGCAAGGGCCGCGGCCGGGGCAGGGGCAGGGGCCGCGGCAAGGGCCGCGGCGGCCGCGGCGCAGCTCCGAACGCGGCGACGGCGGCGGCGGCCCGCAACAAGGGCCTCTCGCCGGCGACGCCCGAGTGGTTCCCGCCCGCGCCGGGCCGGTCCTACGCCGCGACGCGGACGAGGTTCACCACCGTGGGCGGCGAGGTGCGCGAGCCCGAGGCTTTGTTGTAAATGGGAGGTTTTAGATGTGGGTTCGCAGGTGTGTTCGAAAACGCGCGCGAGTTCAACCCCGGTTCAACATCGCATCGATCAGCTCGGATCTGCACTGAAGGACGATGAGTGACGCCGGAACTACGGCGAAGGCGACCGGCGGGGGACCCCCCCGCCTGCTCAAATCCCTCATCTTCATCGCCTGGACGGCCGTGGCGAACGCCCAGCGATTGGGGGCGCCCTGGGCGCGGCGCGTCGCTCTCGCCGCCCCATCTCGGGTCGCGGCCGGCGTCGACTGCTCGTCCTGGGACGGCGACCATGTCGGATGCTCTGGGTGTGTGACGAGCGGCGAGTGCGTCTACAATGAGCGGACCTCCCTCTGCGAGACCGTGGCGGACACGGAGAAGTGCCCCGCCGGCGACTTCGGGCCCACGGGCGGCGAGGAGTGCGACTACGAGGACCTCAAGTGCGAGATGTTTAGCGACGAGTGCTTGGGGTGCGCGGACGAGTGCTCGGACGGCGGCTTTGAACGGTGCGACGACGTCCTCGCGATCTGCGGCATCGGGAAGGACCTCGGCGAACATCACGAGGACGCGATCGAGAAGATCGAAGAAGAGGTCGAGGAGCTCGGGGGCGACGCAAAGCACCCCTGCGCGGCCACGCCCTGCCTCGAGGGCAAGTTCAAGAAGTGCGCGATGGCCGTCGAGGCGTGGTGCGCGCCCGTCGCGACGGGCGGCATCTTCCCGAACGGCGAACCGGAGGTCTCGACCGGCGCCGGGGGTACTTTTTCGAGCGGCGCGCGCCCGCAAGCGCGCCGAAACCGGACCCCTTTCGATCTTCGTAGGTCGCGCCCGCGACGACGTGCACCGCCGAGGGCTGCTCGGCGTTCATGAAGAACTTGCGCGCGAACGCCGTCGACGACGTTGACTACGGCGGCGAGTGCCCCTACGCCGGCGGCGTCTGCGACGACGCCGCGTGCTCCGGGGACGTCGCGCTCGGCGCCGTGACCGTCAGCGAGGACTGCGGCGAGCGGTCCGTCGTCGAGCAGGACATGGCCGAGTACCTGCGGCGCTTCGCCGAAGGCGAGGCGCCGGGGTCGGACGTCCACACCTACTGGCTCGACGCGCTCACCGAGCGCTGCCTCGCGCGGAGCGCGCACGACGGCCTCACTCTGCCGCGGGCCTCGGACCGGCTCGCGCGCGACGTCGGCCCCGCGCTGACGGGCGACTGCGCCGCGGGCGCCTGCGAGGACTCGACGTGCCCCCTCGGCGCGTCGTTCGTCGAGGGCGGCGCGGACGTGGCCGTGACGTGCGCCGTCGTCGGCGAGCGGCGCTGGTGCGCGCAGGCCGAGCTCAACGCCGTCGTCGACGTCAAAGCGACGTGCCCCTGGACCTGCGACGCGGCCTGCGGCAACGGCGACGCGTCGCTCTCGGTCGAGGACGAGCACCGCGCGGCCGTCGGCGCGTGCGCGGCCGTCGTCGTCGGCGCGTGCGCGACGGACGACGCGGACGACGCGTGCGCGCCGCCGGCGACCTGCGACTGCGAGGGGCAGGGCTACACGGGCTGCCCCTGCGAGGCCGAGGGCTGCGCGGCCGTCGACGCCGCGCCCCTCTGCGACCGGGCGCTCTGCGCGCCGTTCAAGGCCGAGGTCGTCCGCGCGGTCGAGGCCGCGGGCGGCGTCCAGCCCGTCGACGAGCACTGGCTGCGCGGCGCCGTCGCGCCGGGCACGTTCGCGGCCCACGGCGAGCCCTGGACCATGCCGGACTTCGACGCGCTGGCCGCGTCCGACGCCGGGACGGCCTGCGGCGCGCTCGCGCGGTCCGTCTACGACTGCGTCGAAACGACGGCGGCCTTCTGCAACGAGATCGACTGGGAGGACGAGGCCTGCGGCCGCGCGTCGACGTGCGGCGACGGCCTGCTGACCTGGGGCGAGGACTGCGACGACGGCGCGCACTTCGAGGCCCAGGACGGCTGCGTGGGCTGCCGGAGGGACCCGCGGAAGGCGTGCGCCGTCGCCGGCGAGGCCTGCGCGACGTGCGTGCGGCCCGACGCCTGCGACGGCGCCGGGTCCTGCCCCTTCTGCTCCCTCGTCGCGGCGGCGTTCCACGAGGCGCACCCGGACGCGGCGAGCCCCTGCGACCCGGCGAGCCCCTGCGTCGGCGGCCGCGTCGTCGACCTCGAGACGGCGCGCGCGTGCGACGCGCGCGTCGACGCGTGGTGCGCCGCGCTCGACGCCTTCGGCGCGAGCGACCCGGCCTGCGGCATCTACGAGCGCAAGGCGGCGACCTACGCGACGCCCCGGGTCGTCGGCGGCAACTGCAGCTACTTCGTGCGGTCCGTCGACGTCGTCGCGCCGGGCATGGACGCCGTGTCCGTGCTCGTCGTCGAGTGCGAGTTCGCGCGCGAGGAGCTGCCCGGCGAGGACGCAACGCCCCTCGCGGCGCGGGCGCACCCCTACTGCGGCATGGAGGCGGCCGACAAGCGCGCGCTCGACGGCTCCGTGCGCGCGAAGCTCTCGGGGCTCCTCGGCGGCGCGCGGGCCGACCCCTGCGAGCTCGCGCGCCTCGACGGCGTCGACCTCGCCGAGACCTACGCGCTCGCGGACGTCGGCATCTACGAGGGCTCGGGCGGGGGCAAGCGGGCGCTCGCGGACCCGCGGTCGCCGACGGCGCGCGTCTTCACTTCGGAGGGGCGCTTCAGTCAGTCCGACTGCGCCGCCGACGAGGACTATGACTTCGACGGCGACGGCGTCGCGCTCGCCACGCTCACGCCGTGCGTCGACCCCTTCCAGGAGGCCGCGCGCGCGGCGGCGTCCTACCTCAAGTGGAAGGCGACGCACGAGGCCGACAAGGACCCGCGCTTCGCCTCCTTCGCGGACCTGGACGTCGACGGCCTCCCCGCGTGCGCCGCGGCCGACGTCCGCGGGAGCGCGTACGTCGGCGTCCGCGTGCTCGGCGCGGTGAAGGGCGGGCAGCTCGACGACGGCGCGGACGAGTCGCGAGCGCTCCTCGACGCGCTCGCGGCGGGCGACGCCACGCTCTCCTTCGGGCGGCGGCTCGTCCAGGCCGACGTCGGCTGCGTCGACGAGACGTGCGCCTACGGCGTCGAGCGCTGCACGGCGCTCGGCCTCGCGCCGTCGACGCGCGTCGCGTCGGACGCGACCCGCTTCTCCGCGAAGATGGCGGACCTCGTCGCGAGCATCAAGGATCTCGTCGGCGCGGGGACCAAGGCCGACTACGCGGCGCGCGCGTTCGCCGTCGAGGCGCTCGGCGCGTCGTCGGCGATCCACGACGCCCGGGCGCTCGCGACGCGCGTGCTGCGCACGACGACGGAGACGGTCTACCTCTACGACCAGGAGGACTACTGCGAGCACGCCGAGTTCGTCCTCGGCGAGCGGAACGAGGCCTGGGAGGAGGACCCGTGCTGCAACCCCATCCGCCGCTACGAGCAGTGCTGCGAGCGCAAGGACGTGGAGGCGGGGAAGCGCGTCGTCGTCGAGGGCGTCGACGAGGACGTCGCGCGCGACGAGTGCACGGCGTCCGTCGTCGACCGCGTCGCGCACATCCAGCGGTCCCTCGCGGAGTCGGCGACGTGCCGCGAGAAGCTCGACGTGAGCGACGACTTCGACCGCGACTACGACCAGTTCTGGAAGTTCAAGGACGAGTGCCTGGCCAAGGTCGCGCGCGACACGCTGACGCCCTGCACGGACACGCGCGTCTGCCCCTGCGCCTACTCCAAGTGCGTCCAGATGGAGGACGACTTCGCGGGCTGCGTGACCGCCAGCGACGACTACGTCAAGTGCGAGGCCGAGTGCCTCCGCGGGGCCATGGACCCCCTCGCGAAGCGCTTCCTCTACGAGGACTGGGGCATCGACCCGGGCTTCGGCGCGGACGCCGAATTCGACGGCAAGTTCTCGCACAAGATCGGCGAGGGCGTCTGCGTCGAGAGCGGCGACAGCGGCGAGTACTTCGTGCACGACGCGCCCCCGATCGGCTTCCCTGTGAGCCGCGAGGTCTGCGACGCCGACTGCCAGCTCGAGGAGGCCTGCACGGAGAACGAGTACGAGGAAGCGCTCCGCGACAAGATCTGCCCGAAGGCGCGCGAGCCGTCGGAGAACGCCGGCTGGGGCGGGACCATCGACGGCGAGGGCCGCAAGCTGTCGGCGGCGGCCCCGAAGGCGCGCAGGCTGGCGGCCCCGAAGGCGCGCAAGCTGCCGGCGGCGGCCCCGATGGCGCGGAGGCTGGAGGAGGTCGTCGTCGAATGGAAGACTGAGATGGATGAGTCCGACATCTTCTTCGAGCAAGGCCAGACCCTAACGTTCGAGTGGGTTGGCAATCACGACCTGTGGCTGTTCCCGAACGAGGAAGCCTACAACCAGTGCGATTTCGAAGGCGAATACGATGGCGAACGCGCGATCTTCCTCGAAGGCGAATACGAGAGCGAACAGTCGATCTTCTTCGCCGAGGTGTCGGGCCAGCAGATGCAGGAGTGGGGGGTTCTCGATGATGAAGGTGATCGCGTCGCCTACTTTGGATGTTCGGTCGGCCGGCACTGCGCCAACCAAGATATGAAGGTCAAGGTGACGTACTACTCCGGCGGCGAGGACGGGGACGACTATGGTTCATACAACTACGGCGACGACGGCGGCGCCGCGCTCTGCGACTGGGCGAACGACGGAACGCTGTGCGCGGACAACGGCGGCGACTTCTACGAGGACCCGAACGACGCCGACAAGACTTCGTGCACGTTCGGTCCCGATGCGACCAAGGGCCGGACGCTCGCGTGCGCGGCCTTCGACAAGTGCGAGGAGGACGCGCGGCGCAAGTGCGAGGACCGCCAGGCCTGCCAGCAGGCCGACGGCGTCTGGGTCGCGTCCGCGGGGCCGGAGGGGCGCTGCTGCGCGGGCCACGTCGTCACGGAGGAGGGCGGCGAAAAGGTCTGCACGGCGACGCCGCCGGGGCTCCCCGACAGCGACAGCCTCCGCGACAAGACGTGCTGCCAGGCCAACGGCGCGACGTGGCGCTCGACGGTCGACGGCGGCGAGTGCTGCTACGGCGAGTTCGAGCGGCGGAGCTTCGTCGGGGTCGAGGAGGTCGTCTGGGAGTGCCAGGACGAGGTCTGGATGGACTGCGAAGACACGGGCTGCGATCGCAGCGCGTGCGACGCGTGCTCCGCGAAGTACGACTCGTGCTGCGAGCTCAAGGAATTCACCGTCAACGCGACGGCGTGCCTCGAGGAGGAGCGGTGCAACGACCGCTGGCACTGCGGCGACCCCGCGGAGGGGAACGCGTGCAGCGCCGACGCCTGCTACGTCGAGAACGACCCGGGCTGGTGCGGCACGTGCTGGGGCACGCAGTGCTTCAAGGAGTCGCGGCGGTCCACCTGCACCATAAACTATGAAGACGCAACAAAGGAGGAGGTCGAGGCCGAGTGCGCCAAGCTGGGCGACACGGCGTGGGTCGATTTCCGGAACCGCGACACGGCGTGGGACGGGGGCGCGCTGGTGTGCCACCTGCCCGTCGACGGCGACGCCGCGGACCCGGTCACCGACTGCTTCGCGAGGCTGACAGAATCGGACGTGGCCGTCGTCGAGAAATATTGCTTCGACGACAGGGACGCGCGCGGCGTCGAGGACTACCCGGACGACGCGATTCCCGCGGTCAACTGGCTCGGCACCGAGTGCATCATCGGATGCTATTACGAGCAGCAGCAAAGCGACGAAGATTCGGAGGAGAGGTGTCGCCATCTCGGCAACAAGCTGAACGCGGACTTACACGACTGGGGGCTCGAGGATATGCGCGTCAACGCCCGGGGCGAGCCCTTGTGCTTCCTCCGGTACGCCACGGAGGACCAGTGCGATGACGTCGACAAGAAGCTGAAAGACAAGAATCTGGGCGGCGCGTGGTACAACGGCGGCAGCCTCTGGTTCGAGCCCGGCCGGCTGAAGACGCAGGCCGAGTGCGACGAGGGCTGGTGCACGGGCATCCCGCTGAAGCTCGAGGGCCAGATCATCAAGGACTTCGTGGAGGGCGGCTACACTCGCGCGCAGTGCGAGGGCTTCGCCGACGGCACTCAGGACGACGCGAGCCGCTTCTACAGCTGCTCGACGACGTGCTACTCGTGCGTCGCCAAGGTCGAAGCCGAAGAGGACGAGGAGGACGAGGAGGACTTCCGCCGGCGCCTCTTCCGAAAGCGCCTCGACGAGGAGGACGAGGTCGACGACGCGTGGCACCCGTGCCACGACGTGACGACGAAGGCCGCCTGCGGCGCGGCGACGCGCGAGCACGAAGGCGTCACCTCGGCATGCGCCTGGGAGCGGTCGACGTTCTGCGAGGACGAGGCGTCGTGCCTCGCCGCGGGCGAGTGCGTCGGCGGCTACGAGCACGAACGCGTCGGCGTCCGGAACGAGTGCAAGGACAAGGACTGGACCCACGGCGACCTCTGTTACTACTACGACGAGCAGACGCGGCGGACCGCCGAGTGCGGCGACTGCGAGTGGGACGTGCCCGGCGTCTGCGTCGACGCGTCCAAGGCCCGCGACGAGTGCGCGAGTTATGATCACGAGCACCCCTACGGCTGCCGCATGGTCGACGGCGCGATCCACACGCGGGAGGCGTGCGCGGACGCCGGCGGCGAGTGGTTCCTGCCGGCGACGACGAAGGCCGAGTGCCTCGCGTTCCTCGGCTGCGAGGAGACGTTCGGCCACGAGGTGACGTCCAAGAGCGAGGCCGAGTGCGACAAGTGCGGCGGCGTCTACGGCCCGCGCTACGCGTGGGCCGACGGCCTCTGGACGCCGCCCGTCGTCCGCGACCTCGCGTGGTTCCCGCGGACGGAGATGACGCCGGCGAGGCTCGTGCAGAAGCGGGCGACGGAGCGGCGGCTCGACGAGCAGCTCCGGGGGCCCATGATGCGCGCCTTCGTCCAGCGGCGCGTCGTCGAGAAGTTCCTCAAGTACTCCATGTGGCTCGACGTCGTCCTCGACCTCCTCTGCCGCTGCGGCTCCGCGGGCGCCGACGTCTGCGAGACCCGCGCCGCCGGCGGCGGCGTCGCGGCGACGGCGACGGGCTTCTGCGACGAGCTCCGGCCGCTGAGCCTCGGCTGCGCCGACGCCGTCCTCGAGAAGTCCTGCGGCGGCGGCGGCGGCGGCGGCCGGCGCCTCGCGAGCGGCGGCGCCGTGGACCTCACGTTCGCGCCGTTCTCCGCGGGCGACTTCCCCGGCGTCGCGAAGCTCGCGGGCGCCGGCTGCCACGACGACGCGGCGTCCGTCGACGCGCTCGCCGTATTCGACGCGCGCGGGCTCGTCGTCGCGCAGCTCCTCGGCGACGGCATGACCGTCGACGCCGGCGGCGCGGCCTTCGACGCGCTCAAGTACGGGCTGCCGGTGGCGGGCGGCTTCAACCGCCGCGCGGACCTCTTCCCCGCGCTGGCGGTGATGCGGTGGGACCCGGCGTCGGGGACGCACGCGTTCCTCGACGACGAGGCCCACCAGGTGCGCGCGTCGGGATCGAAGCACGCCTTCGAGCTCCGCGCCGCGGGCACGTACTTCCCCGTCGCGCGCGTCGCCGACGCGTTCCTCGACGGCGCTAGGACCGTCGCGTGCCCGGCCTGCGACCACGGCGTCTGCGTCGTCGCCGCGGGCGGCGCCGCGTCGTGCCTCTGCCACTGCGGCTACTCCGGGGCGCTCTGCGCCGACGGCTGCCCGAACGGCTGCTCGGGCAGCGGCGAGTGCGTCGACGGCGCGTGCGCCTGCGGCGCCGCGCGGACGGGCGACGACTGCTCCGTCGTCGACTGCCCCGTCGTCGGCGGCAAGCCCTGCTCGGGCAACGGCTCGTGCCGGTCCAACGGCGCCTGCGAGTGCGACGGCGAACACAAGCACGGCGACCTCGACGCCTGCGAGCTGCCCATGTTCGCGGCGCGTCCGGACGACGTCGCCGCGGGCGCGAGCGGCTACGAATCGTTCCCGGCGCCGAACCCGGAGACGGCCTACGACGGCCTCGGCGGCGACGGTTTCCGCTTTCCGTCGCCGTCGTCCGCGCCCGCGACCACGTCCACGACGACCACGACGCGGCCTCCTACGCCCGCCCCCACGACCACGACGACCACGACGCGGCCTCCTACGCCCGCCCCCACGACCACGACCACGACGCCCGCGACGACGACGACCGAGCCGCCCAAGGCGTGCGAGGACCGGTCCACCGAGAAGTCGTGCGACAAGGACGCGGCCTGCAAGTGGAAGGCCGGCCAGGGCAAGTGCGTCGACGACAGCGGCGCGACGACGCCGCCGGCGACCACGACGGCGCCCGTGCAGACGCAGCCCGTCGGCGACAGCGGCGAGTTCGGCCAAGGTGACGGTGATTTCACGGAAGGCGGCGCAGGCACGTGCGCCGACAACACGAAGAAGGACTCGTGCAAGGACGCGGGCTGCACGTGGGACGGGAAGTCCTCCCCGAAATGCCAGCCCGGCGGGTCCGGCGGCGAGGGCGAGGATGAGGCCGAGGCCGAGGCCGTCAAAGCCCCGAAGTGCAAGAAACTCAAGACCAAGGATGAGTGCAAGGCGAACAAGAAGACGTGCGAGTGGACGAAGGACAAGTGCAAGGACAAGCCGTCCGGCGGGTCCGGCGGCGAGGGCGAGGATGAGGCCGAGGCCGAGGCCGAGGCCGTCAAAGCCCCGAAGTGCAAGAAACTCAAGACCAAGGATGAGTGCAAGGCGAACAAGAAGACGTGCGAGTGGACGAAGGACAAGTGCAAGGACAAGCCGTCCGGGTCCGGCGGCGAGGGCGAGGATGAGGCCGAGGCCGAGGCCGTCAAAGCCCCGAAGTGCAAGAAACTCAAGACCAAGGATGAGTGCAAGGCGAACAAGAAGACGTGCGAGTGGACGAAGGACAAGTGCAAGGACAAGCCGTCCGGGTCCGGCGGCGAGGATGAGGCCGAGGCCGAGGCCGAGGCCGTCAAAGCCCCGAAGTGCAAGAAACTCAAGACCAAGGATGAGTGCAAGGCGAACAAGAAGACGTGCGAGTGGACGAAGGACAAGTGCAAGGACAAACCGTCCGGGTCCGGCGGCGAGGGCGAGGATGAGGCCGAGGCCGAGGCCGAGGCCGTCAAAGCCCCGAAGTGCAAGAAACTCAAGACCAAGGATGAGTGCAAGGCGAACAAGAAGACGTGCGAGTGGACGAAGGACAAGTGCAAGGACAAGTAGACCTCTGCCGCGGACGCGCGCGCGCGTTCCGTCGACGGCGCGAGGCTACGGACCACGGCGATGACAAGCTATACCGCCGGCGCTACCCCCCCCCCCGCTACTACTGCGATAAGAGCGCGTACCTAAGCCATGTGCTCCCGAAGGTGGAGGCTACTCGGCCTGTTGAGATGCCTCGCGAAGAAGTAATACCGCCGCGGACGCGCGCGCGCGTTCCGTCGACGGCGCGAGGCTACGGACCGCGGCGATGGCAAGCATCGCCGGCACGATCTCCCCCAACTACTACTAAGAAGATGCACCCGTAGAGACGTGTGCGCGTCGGACGCGCTCGTTCCCGCGAGTGCATCTTGACGGCAGTGTGCCGCGAGCGGCATGCTCGAGCTTCAGCTCCTCCTCCTCCTCCGCACGCATCCTCGCGCGCCGCCATGACGGACCTGCGCTGGGACGAGTCGCTGACGCAGGTGGCGCTCGTCGGGACGGGCATGGGCGTCGCGCACGTGCTGTCGCCGGACCACCTGAGCGCGCTGGCGACGCTGAGCGCGAACGGCGGGGCCGGCGCCTTCCGCCTGGGCGTGCGCTGGGGCGTGGGCCACTCCACGGGCATGCTCGGCATGGCCTGCGCGCTGCTCGCCGTGACCTGGGGCGGCGAGCGCGCCGCGGCCGACCGCGGCGGCGGCGGCGCGGCCGACGCGCTCGCGCGCGACCTCTCGATGTACTGCAACGCGCTCGTCGGCGCGACCATGGTCGCCATCGGCGCGCACGGCGCCCTCCGCGCGCGCGCGCGGCGCAAGCGCGCGGACGACGGCGGCGGCGGCGACGACGCGGACCCGCTCCTCGAGGGCGGCGCGCGCGACCGCGACGACGACGACGACGACCGCAAGCGCCACCACCACCACCACCACCACCACGGCTGCGAGGGCGGCGACCGCGGCGCGCTCGCGCTCTGCGTCGGCGTCGTCCACGGCCTCACGCACGTCGTCTGGGTGCTGCCCGTGCTCGAGCTGCCGACGGCGGCGGCGGCCGCGGCGTACCTCGGCGCGTTCTCGGTCACGTCGACGGTCGTCATGGGCGGCTTCGCCGCGGCTTGGGGCGGCGCGACGCGGCGCTACGCGGCGTCGTCCGCGGAGCTGACCTTCAGACTGGCCGCGGCGTCGAGCGGGTTGTCCGTCGCCGTCGGGCTCCTTTGGCTCGGGCTCCTCGCAACGGGCGGCCTCGACGGCGCCGTCCTCGGCCACGACCACGGCCACGGCGCCCGCGGCCACGGGTGAACGTCGACGTAAGCGACGGGGGTCCCCCGGCGCGGAGGCGCGCCACAGGCGGGGGGGGGCGGGGGGGCGCCCCTAGGCGGCCTTCTTCGCGTCGCGCCGCTTCTTGAGCGCGGCGTCCTTGCGCTTCGCGCGGTCCTCGCGGAGGACGCGCTCGACCTCGTCCTCGTCCTTGGGGGCCGCGCACTCCTTGCGGTCCTTGGGGTGCGCCTTGGTCCAGCGGCAGTTGTCGCAGGCGCCGCAGCGCGCCGCGGCCTCGCGGCGCTCGTCGTTCTTGCCCTTGGCGACGACCTCCTCGACGACCTTGTAGAAGTTGTCGGCCATGTGGGCGAACTTGTCCCAGTCCTCGTAGGTGATGGCCTTGCCCTGCTTCCAGTCGAAGGCCGCGTCGACCTTCGCGCGCGCGGCCGCGAGCCGCGGGCCGAGCCACGCGCCGTCGACGGTCTTGAGCGCGCCCGGCACGGGCAGGTCGCCGTTGCGCTCGTCGGCGATGTCCATGCCGACGAGGGCGTAGGCCGCCGTGATGCGCATGCGGTAGAGCACCGTGTCGCCGCCGTAGCCGTAGTAGCCGAGCGCGGAGAGCGCGGCGATCTGGCCGTACGCGCGGTTCAATAGATGGAAGTCCTTGGGCATGCGCTCGTTGAGCATGGTGTCGCCGTCCGTGAAGTCGTCGTCCGGGTCCTCCTCGTCGTCGGACGTCGGCGACGGCGACGCGAGGCGGCCCTGCTTCCACCACTTGTAGGGCACGGAGCCGCCGAAGAGCTGCGGCAGGCCCTTCCAGTCGTTCTCGGCCAGACCAAAGTCCTTCGCGGCCTCGCGCAGGAGCGCACCGTCGCGGAGCACGGTGCCCGCGACGGCCTTGCACCACGCGCGGCGCTGGCCGTGGGGGAGGTGCGTGTGGAAGCCGTGGTCGATGACGACGAGGTCGAAGCGGACGCGCGCGAGCACCGCGAACCACTCGCTGAGGCGCTTGCAGACGCGCATGTGGGCGTTGTGCTTCTTGAGGCGGTAGCTGAAGACGAGATTCTTCCCCTTCCACTCCCAGGCCGCGCCGACCTTGGCGACGAGCGCCGCCGTCGCCGCGAGCCAGAGCAGCGGCCAATACCAGAGCAGCGCGAGGCTCAGCGCGCCGCAGGAACACAGCCCGACGTGGAAGAGGCGCGCCGTCGCGCGGGACACGGCGCCCGGCGCGACGAGCGCGCGCCGGACCGCGCCGAGCGCGCCCGTCCGCGGCGGCGACGCGTCGCGGATCATGAGGTTGCCCGGGTGCATGTCGTTGTGCGTGTAGCCGTGGACGAAGACGGACTCGCAGAAGAACTGGAGCACGGCGTCGACGGCGACGCCGTAGGGCACGCCGGCGCCCTCGACCGCCGCGACGTCGTTGAGGGAGACCGCGCCGACGGCGAGCTCCTGGACCATGACGCGCTCCGCGGTCCACTCCCAGAAGACCTTCGGGAAGACGACGTTCGCGTGGGCGTGGCGGCCGTCGAAGTCGCTCCGCTCGAAGATGGCCGCGAGGCGCTCGCGGTTGTAGCCCTCGATGCGCATGTCGAGCTCCTGCGTGACCATCTCGCGGCAGAGGACGAGCAGGGGCTTCATCGACGACACGAGGTTCGGCGCGCCGAGGGCCAAAATGGACTGGAGCACGGGCAGGATGAAGAGGTCCGCGCGCATCTTCACGGCGATCTTGTCGTGCTGGATCTTGATGATGACGTCCTCGCCCGACTGGAGCGTCGCGCGGTGCGCCTGCGCGATGGACGCCGCGCCGACGGCGTCGCGCTCGACGAGGGCGAAGACCTCGTCCCAGGGCCTCCCCAGGGCCCGCTCGATCACGGGCAGCATGGCGTCGATGGGCACCGACAGGGCCTCGTCGCGGCACTTCTCGAGGATCGCGCGCGTCTGCGCGGGCGCCATCGCCATCTTCAGCGCGCACATCTGGCCGAGCTTGAGGAAGAGCGCGCCGCTCTCGCAGGCGAGGGCGCTCAGGGGCGTCAGCAGGTCGTCCTCCATGCCCCGCTGCCACTCCGCGAGCAGCTCGGACTCGGGCCGGTCGAGCTCCAGCAGCTCCTCGCGCGTCTTCCAGTTCTTGCCGCACTGCTTGCTCACCTCGCTGATGACGCCGACGGCCTTCAGGCAGCGGCGCGACGCCCGCAGGGCGTCGTTGCTGTAGGGGAACAGGTCCCGCGGGCCCTTGGCCCGGCCCGTCATGCTGTAGCGCAGCGGCGACTCGGGGGCGGGGAAGCCGCTCGCCTTGACCTCGACGGGGTCGGCGACGAGGTAGGACTTGATGCCGTCGTCCTCGCACGCCAGGCCGTCGCCGCCGGAGCCCATGCCGCACGAAACGTCGTCAAGAAATGACCATACCTCGTGTTGGATGGCTGCCCCGAAGAGCGTCGCGATTTGCTCCTGAAACCACTTCAATTCTTGCCCCATTTGCGTGCTCTTGAGGTTGGCATTGTCTTTTGACCGAGAGCATCTCGAGAGCGAGAGCTTGTGGCAAGACCTCGAGACGCGTCGAGGCAAGCTGCCGAGTGCTCCGCAAGAGCTGCTGCGACGCGCAGCACCACCATAAGCTGCCTGTGAGAACCTTGAAACATGGGCGCCTTCGAGCGCAAGAGCACCGCCGCCGTCACCGGCGGCGCCACGGGCCTCGTCGTCGGCGTCGTCGGCAGCTTTTTGCACCAGAACATGCGGTTCTGCCCCAAGACGACGCCGGCGGCGGGCTTCTTCATGATGGTCGTGCTCGGCGCCGGCGCCGCGTTCCGCCAGCCATGAGGATCGTGCTCGCGTGCGCGGCCGCCGCGGCCGCCGCGGACCTCGGGCCCTGCGGCGCGCGGGGCCGCTACGGCGAGGCTCCGAACGAGACGCTCTTCTACCTGAAGACGATAAAGACCGCGAGCTCGTCGCTCCGGTTCCTCTTCCTGCGCTTCGCGCGGGCCGAGCGCCTCGCGGCGCTCCGGGGGCGGCGCGCGGGCGGCCAGTTCTTCGACGCGGCGACGGCCAAGGGCGACACGCGGTGGCCGGCCGAGTTCGAGGACCCCGGCGAGTCCCGGTCGCCGCCGGGAATCTTCGACGTCGCCTTCGACCACTCGACGTGGGACGCGGCGGCCCTCGACCGCTACCTGCCGCGCGCGCGCAAGTTCGCGAGCTCGCGCGACGTCGTCGCGCGCGCGGTCTCGGCCATCGCCTACTTCCACCGCGACGCGACGCCCGACGAGTACTTCGGGGGCTGCGGAATCGTCGAGGGCGGGCTCTGCGGCGGCTGGTCGCGGCTGCAGCACGCGGAGAAGGACGCGGTCCACGTCTGGAACAGCGTCGCGTGGCAGCTCCGCGCTCCGGCCGCGGCGCGGCCGCTCGACCTCCGGCGGCCCGCGGCGGAGGCCGCGCGCCTCGCGGCCGCGGACGTCTCCGAGGCCGTCGGCGCCGTGCGCGGCGCCGTCTTCGACTTCGTCGTCGTCGCGGAGCGGTACGACGCGTCGCTCGTGCTGCTGCGGTCGAAGCTGTGCTGGCGCTGGCTCGACGTCGTCGGCCCCGAGCCGCCGCTCGCGCCCGCGCCCCAGGACGCGAGCCGCCGCGCGAGCCACCGCGCGGCGGCGCCCCTGCGCAACGTCACGGCGCGGACGCTCGTGGCGCTGAACGTGCTCGACGGCCGCATCCACGCGGCCGCGCGCGACGCGTTCGACGCCGCGCGGCGCGACTACGGCGGAAACTTCGACCGCGACGTCGCCTTCTTCCGCGCCTACAAGTTCGCGCTCCTCGTGACCTGCGTCGTCTGCCGCGCGCGGTTTCCGCCGGTGGCGCTCGCGGCCTACGCGGCATTGTGCGGCGATTTGCGGCCGACGTGCCGCGACCTCGGGGCGCACGAGTCGCGGATCCCGACGGAGGCGGACGTGGCCGCGCGCCGTTCGCGGGACGCGCGGGCCGAGGCGGCGCTCGTCGCGCTCGTCGCGGGCTGCCCGGTGCCCCTCGCGACGGCGGAGGTGTGCCCCGCGGGCGACGGGAGCCTCTGCCGCGCGGGGCCGCTCTGCCTCGCGAAATGCGCGCCGCCGCGGGGCCGCCTCGGCGCGCTCTGGGCGCGCCACGTGCTCCGTTTGGACGAGCGCGACTGCGCGGGGGCGATCCTGGTCTAGTTACATGCCGCCGTAGAGCGCGCCGTCGCCGTCGGGCGGGGCCGCGACGCGCGTGAGGTCGCGGACGAGGTTCGCGAACTCGCGGTCGTCCGGGAAGCCGGCCATGGACTTGCGCATCTCCGCGCCGAACTTGGCGACGCCGGCCTCGCCCGGCGGGTAGCCGTAGTCGCCGTGGAGCACGTCGGACTGGAGCCGGATCATGAGCGGGCACATGACGTCGTCGCGCGTCGCTTCGCCGTCCGCGGCGACCTTCGCGCGGGCCGCCGCGAGCAGCTCCCGGGCGTCGTCGTCGTCGCAGCGCGCCAGGATGTCCGCGAGCATGTCCTTGGCCTTGTCCGGCAGCACGAGCGCCGCGTCCCACTCGCCGGGCTCCGACACGAACGTCTGCGTCGCGCCCGGCGGCGCCTTCTTCAGCGGCTTCGCCGGCGCGCCGTCGGAGACGACGGCGCCGTAGGCCTTCTTCTCGATGGTCTCCCGCAGCGCCCGCGCCGCCGCGGCGAGCTCGGGCGGCGCCCTGAGGCTCTCGTGCTCCGTGGCCTTGATCGCCTTGTCGTACTGGCGGAGGCCGAAGCGGCACTTGGCGACCTGCATGGCCGGCTTGGCCCACCGCGGCGCGAGCTCGAGGGCGAGCTCCGCCTGGTCGAGCGCCTCGAGGTGGCGCCGCATGCGGAGGAGCGCCGCCGCGCGGCAGCACACGAGCTCCGCGGCGGACTTGCGCGTCCAGTACTCGTAGTCGGGCACCTCGTCGATGCCGTCGCCCTTGCTCGCGTCGCCGTCGCCGAGGATCACGGGGCAGAGCCGCGCGATGGCGAGGCGGAACTCGGCGTCGGCGGCGGAGAAGTCGCCCTTCGCGAAGGCCCGCGTGCCCCGCGTGCGCGCGCCCTTCCAGTCCGTCTCTTCGGCCTCGTCGGCCATGGACAGCGCGCCCGTGTCCTTGAATTCCGAGGTCCGCGCGCTCTTCGCGATGGCCGCCACGGTTTGCTTGAAGGCCGGCTCCGAGGCCCGGTGGCTCTCCGCGATGGCGGCCATCTCGATGGGGGCAGCTTACGGTTCGCCGGGTTTATATGAAAGTTCAATTTGCCGTGCAAGGTGGGCTGATGGGCTGCCGCCCGAGCACTGCCACATGACTAGTTCGCGGCTGCTGCGCGCCGTGCTGGCGCTGCGACTGGCAGCGCACGGGCAGCAGCTGCGGCGGATCGTCGACGAGCTGCGCGCCGCGAATCCCGGCGAAGCGTGGAACTACTTTGCCATCGATCTGGGCGCGGGCGTGCGGGACGCGGATCCGGTCTTCGACCTGTTCCGGCTGTCGCCGTCTGTCTACGCGCCGACGAATCCGCGGCAGCCGCCGAGCCAGCCGTGGTTCGGCGTCATGGTCGACGGCGACCCGCGCCAGCTCGCGAAGATGGAAGCGGCGTTCCCGGCGGAGGACATCGCCAAGCGCGTCGCCTGGATCGAGCCGCACACGGTCGTCGCCACCCTGGAGGCCGCGGCGGCGCCGCTGACGGACCGGTGGCGCACGCCCGACGTGCTGAAGATGGACATCGACAGCTTCGACTGCGCGGTCATGCGCGCGGTGCTCCGCGAGCTCGCGCCGAAGGTCGTCGCGATGGAGATCAACGTCAAGTTTCCGCCCGACGTGAGCTTCGCGCTGCTGCACAACCGGTCGGCCGACCGCGCGCCCTTCGACTCGGAGCGGCGACGATTCGCGTACGGCTGCTCGCTGCGGTTCCAGGCGCGCCACCTCATGCCGCCGTTCGGCTACGCGCTCGCGCACGTCGACTGGAACAACGCGGTCTACGTCCCCGCGCACCTCCTCGGGAACGCGTTGCGGGTCCAGCGACCGCGGGATTCGCTCCTCCACAACTGGAGCGTGGAAGTCCAGGACCGCGTCGGCTACTACGACCGGCCCGCGCGGAGCATCAAGTTCGGGTTCAACGACAAGCCCGGTCTCAAGCGCTGGCGCGACCCGACGACGGACCACATCGCGGAGGTGGTTCGACTCGTGAACGCGGACGGGAAACGCGAGGGCCCGTGCAACTACTGCCTGCTCTCCGCGCTCCTGGGCCGCGGCGACGGCCCCCTGCGGCGCTACTGCTGGGGCGCGGACGGCGCCTTCGGCGAGTGCGGCCGGCACCACCGGTCGACAGAGTAAGCGCAGTGTGGGCACTCCATCGTGCCGACGGCCGCCCACGGGCCGCCGTCCTAGTCCCACGTAAAGCACCCATAATAATATATAATAACTAGAGTAATAATATAGCATGCCGTATGGTCGACGATGGACTAGAGCTACTCGCGCTAGATGATGGGCAGCACGGCGGCAAGGCCGACGACGAGCTCCTCCTGCTGGATGATGGGCAGCACGGCGGCATGGCCGACGACGACGACGATTTGCTCGACGCGCTCGACGATTTGCTCGACGCCGACGCGTGCTGCCTCGACCTCGACGACGACGCGTGCTGCCTCGACCTCGACGACGACGACGCATTGCTCGCGGCGACGGGCGGCCTGCCCGACCTCGCGGACGACGGCGCGAGTCCGAGCGCGACAGACGACGCCACTTCGAACCCCCTCCCGAATACCAAGCGGCGGCGCGTCGACGGCGCGCCGGGGGGCGCCGAATCGCGCGGCGCGAGGCCCTGGGGGCGCGACTCGCCGTTCCTGCCCGCCGAGGACGTCGCCATCTGGGAGTTCGCCTACGACGAGGGCGGCGCGCCCGCGGTCGAGCACCGCCAGCGGCGCGACCCCGGCGGCCAGCTTTTGTGGGCCAAGGCGCTCGCGGACGGCAAATTCTCGCGCCGCGGCGCCGCGGTGCGCAACGACGCCGCGGGGCGGAAGATGCTCCGGAACCGCCTGGCCTACCTGAAGAAGCGGCGCGACGCGGACCCGGACGGCTTCGAGGCGGCGCTCGACGACGCGCGCGCGGCCCGGGACGCGCTCCGGGACGGGGCGAGGCCGGACCTCTCGGAGAGCGGCGGGCCTCCCGCGGCGGACGCGTGCGTGCTGTGTTCGCTGTGCGGCGCGCCCGGGGAAGATTACCACAAGAAGCCCACCATGATCAAGTTCGTCGAAGGTCAGACGGGCTTCGCCACCTTGCTGATTTGGGTCGCCGCCATCTTGACGTTCATACCCGGCAACTATCTGTGGGGCGGCGTCTACGCGGCGCTCGCCTTCCTCCACGGCTTGCAAGTGTGGTACATGAACGAGCACGGGGACTATTTCTGGGAAATTTTCGCGCGCCCCTTCGGCCAAAAGCGCGCGCAGCTCACATGCGCCCTCCTCGTGGTCTTCGAAGCCGTCTTGATCATCGGCGTCGTGACGCTCATCCAGTACGCACTCGCCCAGTAGGTTGCTTCGTACGTCCGCGCCCGCGCGCGCGGTGCCAAGGCCAGAGAGCGGCGCCTTAGGCCTCTAAGACCCACGACCTAGGCGTCGAGGTGGCGGCGGGAGTCGCGCGCGGCGATGACCTCGGCGAGCGCGTCGAGCCACTTGGCGCGGTCGTCGGCGTCGTCGACGAAGATGTGGAACGTGCGGCCCGTGTCCGCGTCGACGTCGAAGGCGAACTTGCCCGGGTGGCGGCGGTCCGGCGGCACGGGCCGCGCCGCGCGGCAGCGGACGACGCCGGCCGGCGGCTTCGTCTTGAGGCCCTCGGGCTTGGCGCGGTAGTAGAAGAGCTGGACGCCCCGGAGGACCGCGTAGCGGCGCTTGAACGACGGCGCGGACGCCAGCACCGACGCCGCGCCCTGCTTCCAGAGCCAGCCCTCGCGGCCCCGCTCCTCGTCGGGCCGCGGCGCCGCCGACCCGAGGGCCAGGCGCTGGAAGCCCGTGACGTGGCACGCGGCCTGGCGCGCCAACGCGTCGTGGAGCGCGCGGATCCACGCGTCCGCGCCGCCGGCGTTCGGCGCCGCGAGGTGGTAGTCGCGGTGCTCCGTGACCACGTCGAAATGCGTCGCCGACCGCCGCCGGCAGTGCACGGGCTTCTCGTAGGTCCAGGGGATCGCGCCCTTTTGTTCCGGCGGGTCGCAGGAGCAGTCGTAGTAGACGAAGCGCGGCGCGGACGTCAGCAGGAAGACGCGCTCGCGCCAGAAGAGGCCCTTGCGCTTCCACAGCACGCCCCGGTCCAGCAGCGTCTCGCCGCCGTCGAGGAGCGACGCCCAGTCCACGGCGTCGAGCGCGTCGTCCGCGGACCGGCGCTTCGACGCCGTCGGCGCGGCGTCGCCGCCGCCGTAGAGCGGCGCGTCGTCGTCGCCGACGGCGCCGCCCGCGACGTCGCCGCCCGCGCCGTCGTCGCGCGCGTCCAGCTCGAGCATGAACTCGATGCTAAAGTCCGCGAGGTCCTCGTCTCGCGGGAGCGGCCGCGGCTCGCGCGGCGCCGCGGGCGCGGCGACGGCGCGCGCGCGGAGCGGCGCGACGTCCGGGAAGTGGGCCGCGAAGAAGGCGTGGCCGTAGAGCTTCGCGACGTCGTCCGCGCCCAGCCGCTTCGCCGCGTCCTTGACGAGGAGTCGGCGCGCGAGGTCGAGCGCGGGGCCCGGCGCCGCGGGCGACACCTCGAAGGCCGACTCGTCGCCGTCGGCGAAGGCGACGATCTTCTCCCAGAGCAGAAAGTCCGTCGCCGCGCGGAACGGCAGCGCGCCGCAGCTCAGCTGGTAGCAGAGGCACCCGAGCGCCCAGAGGTCGCACGCCGGCGTCGTCTCGAAGCCCTGGAGCACCTCCGGCGACACGTACTCCGCCGTGCCCTCGAAGGAGCCGTGGCGCTCGCCGAGATCGTGGCCCGCCGCGTGCGAGCAGTCGAGCACGGCCCCAAAGTCCGCGAGCTTCGCGTGGCCGCCGCCGTCGAGGAGCACGTTCTCCGGTTTCAGGTCGCGGTGGGCGACGTCCAGCGACCGCAGGAACTCGAGGCCGAGCACGACCTCCGCCGCGTAGAACGCCGCCGCGTAGGGCGTCAGCCCGCCCGCCGCGCGCCGCACGCGGTCGTCGGACCCGTTGACGAGGTGCAGCAGGTCGCCGCCCCCGCAGAACTCGAGCACGAAGAAGAGGTAGTCCGCGTCCTGGAACGTGCGCGACAGGTTGACGACGAAGTCGCAGGACGCGCAGCGCTGGAGCGCCTTCGACTCGGCGAGCACGAGCCGCGTCTTGCCCTCGCGCTCGATGTAGGACTTGATCATCACCTTGACCGCAAAGTCCGTACCGTCGCTCCGGCGCCGCGCGTGGAGCACCGTCGCGAAGGCGCCCTCGCCCAGGATGTCGCCGAAGGCGTAGTCCGCCGGGCCCGCGCCGTCGCCTCCCATCGTTAGTGCCCCTTTGCAACAATCAGCAAGCTCCCATATTTTAATCAAATCAATGCCACAGGCAAAGGAAATTGGCTCGTTGCAGTGCAACAATCGAGGCGTCTCGCTTTTCAGCGCGTTGACTCGCGCGTATTGGACAGTTCACCTTGTTCCAAAATCTGCCTTTATGCTTCCCAGCCGCTTCGGCTCAGTCGAACTCCTGCGGCAGCGTCATGGGGATCAGGGACGTGTCGATGGGCGGGTGCTTGTCGATGAGGCGGTCCCAGTGGTCCGTGGACATGAAGGTGCGGTCGAGCTTCTCCAGCGTGATGATGAGGGCCATCTGGCCCTTCTCGAAGAGGGGGTCCTCGTCGACGAGCTCCCAGATGGACTCGGCTGGTCGGACGGCCTTGTGGAGGTCGACGGCCGCGAAGAAGACGTGCGGCGGGTCGCGATCCTTGAGGCTCGCGGACAGCTTCGTGGAGCCGATCTTCACGTCGACGTGTTTGCCCCGCGTCTCCCGGGGCACCTTGATGACGACCTGGACGGACTTGGTCGTCTGGCGCCACCAGTAGCCCGGCCCCGCGCCGCCGCCGTCGACGGGCATCTGGAGCGACAGCACGGGGAAGTCGGGGCTCCAGTCGCTGGCGCCCTTGACGTTGCTCATGCGGCTCCGGAAGAGCACCGTGACGCCCGGCGTGATGTTGCGCAGCGCGGCCGTCTGCGCGCCCGCGTCGATCTCCAAAGGCTTCCAGACGTCCGTCTCGTCGTAGTCCTCCTTGGCCTCGATCTCCACGGTGTCGCGGCCCCATTTCGACGACTCCTTGTAGGTGTAGGACACGAGGATGCCGTTCGACGACCGCTTCGAGCACTTGAGCTTGGGCTGCGTCGTCGGCTTCACGTACGCGTTGTCTCGCAAGACCAGCCGCACGAAGAAGCCCGCGATGTAGACGGCGAGCTTGTAGAAGGGACCCTTCTTCGAGCTGCGGATGGGGGATTGCGCGGCGTGAGGCGGCGCCGGCGCGGCGGCGCGCGCGGAAAATGAGGAGCGCGCGTGACGCGGGACGCCGACAGGCGCAAGACCCGGCGCATCTGCTTGCGGAAGAGGGGCACGGCCATGATGAGCTTGAAGAAGAAGTAGCAGCAGGCGAGGCCGATGGCCTGGAAGGCGAGCAGCTTCATGTCGACCATGGCGCCCAGCGCCGGCCTCGCGGCTTCGATGGACGGCTACCACGCGGCGAGCGCCAGTGGCAAAAAGTGGTTCAAGTCGTCAACTTGAAGTGTCCGTAATTCCGCCGCCGTGGAGAGCGTCTCTTTAGGGCAGCAGTACGATGTCCGATGGGCACCTCATCGTGCTGTCGACGTACCTGCAGCTCGCGCCGAAATGGTTCGTCTCGAGCTCGTTGCTCGTCGCGGGCCACGTGGCGCAGGAGAAGAGCTACCGCGTCGCCCTGGCGAGCAGCCTCATGGCGAGCCTGAGCCTCGAGATGGTCTGGACCTGGTTCCGGCCCGACGCGCCGTCGCACCGCGCGGCGGGCGCGTGCCTCGTCGGTTCGACGGTCGCCGGCGCGGCCGCCGCGGGCCTCGCCTTCGGCGCCGAGCCGTCGCCCGCGCTGACCTTCGCGCTGCTGGCGGCCGCGGGCTGCCTCAGCATCCCCGTAAACCTGCTCGCGGCGCTCTGGATCGAGCAGAAGACATCCGCCGCGCGCTACCGCATCGCGGGCTGGATCATCTCCGTGTCGCTCGGGTCCCCGTCAGCGTCCTGTGGCGGTGACGATTTTCGAGAGATTTTGACCGGAGAGAAATCGTCGCCGACATGCTTGGTAGGTCCCTGTCGCTCCTCCACGCGCCGGCCGCGCGGCCCCTCGTCGCGGTGCCGGTCCTCTGCGCGTACCCGGCCTACGTCGCGCGCCGGCTCCTGCGGTCCGGCGCCGCCGCCGCCGGGGCCTCCGCGACGTCAAAAAACCGCGCGAACAAGGCCGCGGGCCGCGTGTCGCTGTCCTGCGCGGCGGCCTACGTCTTCTTCCACGTTTTCATCGGAACGAACGCGGAGGCGGTCAACGACATGGCCATCGGCCACCGCGTCCGCCGGGAGCTGGGCAAGGGCAACGCGGGCCTCGCTTTAACGAACAACGCGTCGGTCCTGCTGAGCCAGCTCCTCGCGCTCGCGTCCGAGTTCGGCGTGAGCCGCGGCGACGAGAGGAGGAAGCACCTCATCTTCCTCGGCGTGTGGAGCGCGTGCCAGCTCCTCCGGGCCGTCGGCCTCGCGAGCATCGTCGGCTCGTCGGCGACGGCGCACCGGCTCGTCGGCGGCTTCGTCTTCTTCGACAAGTACTCGGGGCCGCTGGGCCAGGCCGCGCTCGAGCTGGCGGGCATGGAGCTCATCCGGCGGCATCCGGGGACCGCCGTGCCCGCGCCGTTCCTCATCTCCCTGCGCATGGCGGCCTTCAAGTACGAGCGGCCGTTGTGGGACATCCTCCTCGTCCACGAGGCGAACTGGCCCGCGCCGCTGCCCGCCGTCGTCGCGGGCTTCACGGCCGTCGGCGGTTGCTACGTCGCCGCGATGCTCGCGCGGCGCCGAAGCGCGCCGAAGCAAGACTAGTAGTAGGCTTACTTGCCGTACTGGGCCTTGATGTCCTTGGCGATGGTGAGGAGCTGGATGTTGGACGTGCCCTCGTAGATCTGGCCGACCTTGCAGTCGCGGAAGAACTTCTCCGCGGGGTAGTCCTTCATGAAGCCGACGCCGCCCATCCACTCGATGCACTTGGACGCGCTGAGCTCGGCGACGCGCGACGCCTTGAGCTTGGCCATGGCCGCGTCGGCGATGAAGGGCAGGCCCTGCTCCTTCTTCCGCGCGGCGTTGTAGACGAGGAGCCGCGCCGCCGCGATCTCTGTCGCGACCTCCGCGTACTGCATCTGCATGCCCTGGAAGTCGCCCACGGCGGACCCGAACTGGGACCGCTCGAAGAGGTAGGGCATCGTCGCGTCGAAGCAGCCCTGGGCCAGGCCCACCATCTGCGCGCCGATGCCGATGCGGCCCTCGTTGAGGATGCCGATCGCGTACTTGTAGCCCGCGCCGACGTCGCCGAGCACGGCCTCGGGGCCGACGACGACGTCCTCGAGGACGACGGGGCACGTCGACGACGCGCGGATGCCCAGCTTGTCCTCCTTGCGCCCCACGGTCAGGCCCGGCGCGCCGCCGTCGACGGCGAAGCACGTGATGCCCTTGTAGCCCAGGGACGGGTCCGCGTTCGCGAAGACGAGGAAGACGCCGGCGTGCTCCGCGTTCGTGATCCAGGCCTTCTCGCCGTTCAGGACCCAGGACCCGTCGGCCTTGCGCTCCGCCCTCGTCGCGAGCGCGAACGCGTCGGAGCCGGAGCCGGGCTCGCTGAGGCAGAAGGACCCGACGATCTCGCTCGCGAGCCGCGGCAGGTAGCGGGCCTTGAGGTCCTCGCCGCCCCAGAAGTTGAGCGTGTTGTTGACGACCGTCGAGTGGACGTCGACGCACGTCGACACGGCGGGGTCGACCTTTGCGAGCTCCTCGATGACGCAGCACATGGCCGTGAACGACGCGCCGGAGCCGCCGAAGCGCTCCTCGACCTCGACGCCCATGAAGCCGTTCTCGAAGAGCTTCGCCAGGAGGCCCGCGTCGAGCTCGCTCTTCGCGTCCATGGCCTTGACCAGCGGCGCGATCTCCGACGCCGCGAAGCCCGCTACCGCCTCCTTGAACATGGCCTCGTCCTCCGTCAGCGACAGCGGCAGGTGGGCGCCCTCGACGACCGTCGCGGCGGCGGCCGACGATGAGAGAGAGCGGCGCGGGAGGCGGCGCGCGGCGCGTGCGAGCATGGTCGCCATGCTGGCTCGACAGAATTGCCACAGAATGCGCCAATAAAAGCTCTCCTTTCACTTTTCAAGAGACGATGTTGCACAGCTCCCCGAAGGGTGCAATGGGCTGCCATCCACCACGGGCTGCCATCGGCGCGTGAACACCGGGAGCGAAAACGCATTAGGCAAAGACGAACCACCCATGAGCGTCAACGACGGCGGCGAGGACATCACGGACACCCTGACCTGGGGCAACCTCGAGTTCTACACCTGCTCCATGTCGCCGTCGCGCGAGGAGCCGGGCGACCTCAGCGACGCTTTGGGCGCGAGTTGCTTCTTCGACAAGCTGCTGGGCCACCCCGCGGAGGTCTACGAGCCCCAGGGCGACGAGTTCCTGCTCCACAGCCCGCGCGGCGACGCGCGGCCGCTGCCCGTCTACGTGTCCGACGCCTGCTTCAGCCCGCTGCTGGCGCGGGAGCGGGGCGCGCCGCGGCGCGCCGTGATCCTCTGCCACGACGCGCGCGGGTTCAGCCACGAGCCCGGCGCGTCGCGGCTCCGGGAGCTCGCGGACGCGGTCGCGCGGGACCTCGGCGCCGTCGCCGTCGCGCCCGACTTCTTCCGCGGCGAGGGCTGGAACGAGCGGGACCAGGGGCCGGCCTACCACGACGCGGACGCGCGGCGCGCCTGGTTCGCGCGCGTCTCGGACCCGGACGCCATCGGGAGAGACCTGGACGAGATCGTCGTGCCGTTCCTGCACAACGACCGCGGCGTCCGCGGCGGCGACGTCGCCGCGCTGGGCTTCTCCTGGGGCGGCGCCGTCTGCTTCGTCGCCGGCCGCTACGCCTGGTGCTGCTGCGGGGCCGCCGCGCACTCGACGCTGTCCTGCTTCTCGCTCCGCGGGTCGTCGCCGACGGAGGCCGCGGCGCTCGTGAAATGCCCGCAGATGCTCCTGCAGAGCGGCGCGGACCCGGACGCGACGAAGCGCGGGAGCGCGCTCCAGGAGGCCCTGCCGGGCGCCTCCGTGCTCGACGACTACCCGGCGATGAAGCACGGCTTCCTGCTCCGCGGCGACCGCGACGACCCCGCGGTCGCGCGCGACGCGCGCGACGCGACGGCGCGCCTCCTCGCCTTCGTCGAGCAGCACCAGGGCGTCTAACGCGGCGGGTCTTACGTCTTCGTCCCCGCGATGAGGTCCCGGAGCCGCTCGGGCGAGATGCCGCCGAGGAGGTTGTCGTCGTCGACCTTGTTGATCTCGTCGCCGCGCTCGGCGGCGAGCTTCTCGACGTCCCAGCGGTCGTCCTCGAAGAAGCCGAGGTTGTCGGCGATGAGGTGGTGGTTCTGGCACCCCGGGCACTTGACGATGACGACGCCGTGGCGGTAGCTCCGCTCGGAGAACTTCTTCGCGGACCGCGTGTCGCAGACCGTGCACGTGAAAATGATCGCCAGCTTCTTGCCCCCGTGCTCCGTGCCGGGGATCGCGTGGTCCACGGCGCCGGGCGCGCCCGCGGCCACGACCGTCGTCGGCGGCGCGTCGCGCGCCTCGTCGCTGAGCGCGCGGAGACCGAGCGGTCGGTGTCGTCGCCGGGCGGCGATGGTCGGGCGCGCGGCGCAGCGCGCGAGCGATGCTGCGCGTCGCAGGAGCATTGGTGAGCCGCGAGTCGAAGGCGTCGGCGTCGACGCAGCTCGACAGCTCCACGATCGACGAACGGAGCTTGTTGAGGTCGACATTCACCCTTAGCGCGCTTCGATCTCGCCGTTGCCTTTTGGCAGAGTCTTCGGGCGCTGTCGACGAACGCAGCTCTCCGACGTAGTTTCGACGATGACGCACAAGGTCGAGGCGGTGCTCACGCTGTACAACGACGGCGGCGACGACGACGAGCCGATGCGGGTGACCGTGCCGCTTCAGTACACCGACCTGACCGGCGACGCGCGCAACAACGCCGACGTCCTCGCGTCCATCACGGCGGCGCTCGCGGCGCGCAGCCCCTTCTCACCCAACTCGCGCATCAACGCGGGGCTCTCGGAGATCTTTGACGGGACGGCCCTCGAGGCCGTCGGCGTCCGCGCGTCTTCGGCGTCGCCGTGGACGAAGACGAACGCGTTCGGAGAGGGCGAGGCGACGCTGGACGCCCTGGCGGAGGCCCTCGCGGGCCTCGAGCGCTTCAAGCGCGAGTTCGTCGAAGCCTACGACGCCACGAACGAAGCGGAGCTCGACGTGCTCGTCGCGCGGGCGAAGCCGGCCGAAGCGTCGTCGCCCTGGCGCCTCGCGCGCGCGGCGTCGCCCTTCGTGACCGTCGTCGCGCCGCCGCCGCCGCCGCCCGAGGCGGCCCGTCCGGACCCGGACGCGGCGGCGGCGCCGCCGCCGCCGCCCGCCGGCGAAGAGAACCTGCACCCGAATTCGCCCGCGCCGCGCGCGAAGAAGGCCGTCGTCGTCAAGTCGCCGACGCCGCGCAAGGAGGCCTCGCCGACGCCGCGCGCGTGCCCGCCGCGCGTCGCGTCCCTCGCGACGCCCCGGTCCCGGCGGGAGGGCCCGCGCGCGCGCGGCCGCGCCGCGGACTACGTCCGCGAGTCGCTGCACCGGACCCGCACGCCGAGCCGGGGCCGCTCCGCGTCGCGGCCCCGGGCCGCGTCCGGCGCGCCGGCGTCGGCGACGCGCGCGACGTCCGCGCGGCGCAAGCCCGAGGACGCGGCGCCGCGGAGCGCGGCGAAGCGGGAGCCCGCCGCGCCGACGCCGCGCGCCCGCGCCGCGGCGCAGCCCGTGTCGTCGCGGCTCATGAAGAAGACGGAGTCCCAGCGGCGGAAGCGCATCAGCTTCGGCGGCGCGGACAGCAACGAGCACGTCGACTACCGCCACACGTCGGGCCGCCGCGTCCGTTTCGACGGTTTCTTTTTTTTACCACGTGTACGTAGGCTCGGCGTCGGCCGCAAGCACGCGGCGCCGCGGACGACGGCCCAGCACGTCGGCGCGTCGGCCGCGGCGGAGCGCGCGCCCCGCGGCGGCGGCGCGTCCGCGGCGTTCGGCGAGCGGAAGATGATGCGGAAGACCGTCGAGGAGCTCACGAGCCAGCTCGAGGAGGCGAACGGGAAGATCGTCGAGCTCGCGACGGCGTCGGGCGCGGACGCGGGCGCGATCCTCCACAGCAAGCTCGGCGTCGACGAGCTGCGCGCGCGGCTCGCGGACGCGGTGACCCGGTGCTACGCCGGCGAGGACGCGGAGCGGGACGTCGAGACCTTCGGCAAGCTCCTCGCGGCGCACCCCGAGGAGAAGGCGCGCAAGCGGGCGGCGCGCGACGCCTGGGACGCGGCGGAGGCGGACGCGAACGCCGCGGCGCTGCGCGTGCAGCGCACGTTCGTGCCCCCCGACGTCGCCCTCACGGACGTCGCGTCCGTCGCCGCGCGCGGCGCGCCGCCGGCGCTGGCGAAGCGCCTCTTCGCGAAGCGGGCGACGTGGCTCGCGCGCGCGGACCCCGCGCGCGTCGCCAAGTTCACGCTCGTCGACCTGCGCAACGCCTACGACTGCGCGGCGCTCGACGCGACGGAGCTGCGCGCGGCCTACGCGGCCGTCCGGGCCGTCGCCTTCGAGGCGGACCCGACGGGCGCCAAGCACGCCTGGCGCGAGGCGCTCCGCGCGCGGCTCGTCGCCAAGCTCGACGCCGCGCCGGAGGAACGCGACGCGGCCTACGGCGGCCTCGCCGCGGGGCCCTTCGACGCCGACGCGGCCGCCGAGGTCGCGCCCTGCGCCAAGGCCGTCGTCGACCGCGACGCCGCCGCCGCCGCGCGCGACCGCCAGGGCAGGACAAGAGAGCGAAATTCCAAACTTCAAAGGCTCCTTTCTCGGCCGTTTTCCACTCGTTTCGGCTGATTTTTGGACGAGCGATCATCTCTCGGAACGGTCTCGAAGCATGAATGCTTTTCCCGGAACGCGCGCGCGCGGAACACTCACGTTGAAGCGACGTTGAATCTCTCTTGTCCTGCCCAGGCGACCGCGACGTCGCCGCGGCGCTCAAGGCGCGCAAGGCCGCGTTCGCGGCCGCGCCCGCGCCCGCGGCCGCGCGCGCGGCGGCGGCGACGCCGGGCCGCGTCGCGCGCGACGACCCGCGGACGACGATGCTCGCCGCGGTCCTCGGCGGCGGCGCCGCGGGTGCGGCGCCGGCGTTCCTCGCGGAGCTCCGCAGCGCGAAGAAGGCGCGCGCGAAGGCGCCGGCGCCGAGCCCGGCGAAGCCCGCGTTCCTCGCCGAGCTCCGCGCCAAGGCGGCGCCGAGCCCGGCGAAGCCCGCGTTCCTCGCCGAGCTCCGCGCCAAGGCCACGCCCGCGGCGCCGAAGACGCCCGCGAAGGCCGCGGCGCCCGCGTTCCTCGCGGAGCTCCTCGCGGCGCGCGCCGGCGCGTCCGCGGTCGCTCGCGACTAACGGTTTCAAGGCTCGCGCCAAGAGGTATGCACAGACAACCTTAACCACTGTCATGCTGATCTGAGATGAGTGGTCTGTAAATGGGGTGAGGTAGTGGTGGTGGTGGTGGGGGTGGTACCCCTGGGGCCGCTGGAGACCACTCGAATCCACCGGAATTATGCTTGTTTTGGCTCTATCGACCAGTTTTGATATCGAGCTCGAGCAAACTGGTGGTTTTGACGCTCGATCATAAATTTCGACCGTGTGGAGGTCATGGCCGAGCAGCCCTCCAGCTGCCGATCGGCCAGAACGGGTGGTTCACAGGCTTCGTTGACCCCATGTTGCAGCTGTTTTGACCACTCATTTTGAGCAAGTCGCGACTCAGGGGTAGTTGGTTAGTGGTGCTTGGTGTCGTGGGGTGGTTCGCTGCCGGCCTCTTGGCTCGCGCTTACGCCCGCGCGCACCAGTAGTCGATGTCGGCCCAGAAGAGCATGGCGACGCTCGTCGTGGACACGTGGACGTCGTCGGGGTGGTCGTGGTCGACGTAGGGCGCGTAGTGCCGGAGGACCCTGTCGCAGTTCGCGTTGAGGCTGCCGTCGTCGTCGTAGCACGTGAGGCAGAAGGAGTGGGCGCCGCAGCCGCCCCGGGTCTCCGCCATGTAGTCGGCCTCGGCGCCGACGACGCGGGGAAAGAGGTCCTTCGAGTCGCCGGCCGCCGGCGCCGTCGGCGCGAAGGTGCCGTCGCAGGTCGCCTCCATGTTCGCGACGCCCTGCCAGGCGCAGAGGTCGCTGTAGGCCGAGGGCACGAAGCCGTCCGGCGCGCTCGCGTAGGCCTCCTCCGTCGGGCACGCCGTAGCGCACGCCGCGGCGTACTCCTCGAGGTAGCGCGGCGCGCCGGGCCAGACGTGCTCCGCGCACTGCGTGTTGATGTCGAGCGTGAAGCAGCTCCCGTAGGCCGCCCCCGGGTACCAGGCGTCGTCGTCGAAGACCGCGCAGTCGATGTCGGACCCGTAGGCGGCGTCCAAGACGTCCGCCGCGAACTTCGCGTCGTAGGCCCCCTTCACGGTCCCGGCGTCCGCGAGCTCGGTCAGCGGCGTCGCGGCGTCGCCGTAAAAGGTCGCGTGGAGCGTCTCGACGCAGCCCAGGGGATCCGCGCCCGCGCAGGCCATGACGAAGGATTCGTCGGTCGACGCCGGCGGCCACTCGACCATCTTCTCGCCCGTGGCCTTGACCATGGTCAGGGGGAAGCCCGCGGCGACGTACTCGTCCAGGTACGCGTCCGCCGACGCGTCGACGTGGTAGAAGAGGCGCTGGAGCTTCGCCGGGTGCGCGTAGGCGACGGCGCGCAGGCCGCCGAAGCCGCGCGCGTCGACGACGCCCGCGAAGGCCCACTGGTCGCCGCAGCCGTTGTTGCGCGTGTCGCAGGCGCAGGCCCCGGCCCCCTTGAAGTTCGAGTTGTCGAAGGCGACGACCTGCCTCGCGAGGCCCGCGGCCGCCTTCGTCCAGACCATCGCGCCGGAGTTGAAGTCCTCGTAGAGCGTCGCCGTGCCGTCGACGGGGAACGTGGCGTCGTCGGCGCCGGCGCTCAACACGAGGTCCGCGGCCGCGCCGTCGACGTCGAGGAGCGCGCCCACGTCGACCGCGTCGGGCGCGATGAGCGCGTCCGAGTCCGTCAGGAAGACGCGGTCGCACGCCGCGCCGCCGGCCGCGTCCGCCGCGGCGCCGGCGTCGCTGCTCCCGGCGCCGCCGGTCTCGAGGGCGTCGAGGAGCGCGCAGTACTTCATCTGCACGTGCGCCAGGGAGCACGCGTAGCTGTCGACGCCGTCGCAGCACTGCGGCAGGTCGTCGGCCGAGTCGAAGACGTAGGGCACGGACCGGTAGCCGCGCGCCGACGCGTAGGCCGTCTTCGTCGGCCAGGTCACGGCGGACACGCCGACGAACTCGTCGCCCGTCGCGACGTGGACCACGCAGGTCGACGCCGCCGACGCGTCGTCGACCGCCAGGGCCGGCGCCGGCGGCGCGGATGTGCTGTGTTGCGCCAGCGCCAGGCCGCCCGCGCAGGCCGCGAGCGCCAATCCGCCGACGCGCCGGAGCCGCCGCCGCCGAACGGCGGCGGCGCTCGGGGCGACGAGGGGCGTGGCTTCCTCCATCATCGAGCTGCCCCCAAGAAGTATCCAAGTTCGACGAATTTCTCGTGTTGCAGTGCAATGTTCCCCTCCTAAAACAAATCACACTTCGTGTACCTCATTGGGGTCGAAGCTCGCGTCGTCGACCTTGCCCGTCTTCTCGAGGGAGCGCATGTTCCGGGCGACCCGTCGCGTCTGCGCGGACGTCTCCTCGGTGACGAAGTCCTGCTCGAAGGTGTCGTAGGCCGCGTTCTCGTAGAGGGACATGTCGTCGGTGTGCTCCCAGTTGTAGGGGAAGAGCTCGTAGGCGATCTGCGCGGGCGTCTTCTGCTTGTGGCGGTCGTTGGGGTCCTCGGACGGCAGCACGGACGGGTCGGGCTGGAGCTTGCGCACCCAGGACGGCAGCGTGTCGACGTCCTTGCCGAGGCGGATGGACCCCGCGTAGCGCGTCATGAAGTCGCGGTAGTTGCAGCCGTCCTTGCCGTCCCAGGGCCGCCGCCAGTCGTTGTCGACGCTCCGCCAGCGCTGCTCGTCGATGATCTCGTTCCACCGCATGATGCAGTACTTGCGCTTGAGGTCCTGCACGGCGATCTGCACCTGGAGCTTCGGCGGCATCTTCGACTGCGCCTTCGCCGTCGCGAGCAGCCGCTCGCACTCCTTCGCCGAGGCCTTGGCGGCGTCGACCTCCTCCGCCGCGCCCAGCACGAGGTCCTCGGCCTCCTCGGCGCTGTCCAGGCGGTGGAAGTTGAACGCGTCGCCGTTCTCGAAGTTGATCTTCCGCCGCTTCGCGATCTCGTACTTCTCCAGCAGCCGCTTCCCCTCGTTGCGCGCCTCCTCGAGGTTGCCCTTGTGCTTCTTGATCTTCGAGTTCATGGCGCGCTTGCGCCGGTGCACCTCGTTGCCCAGGATGAGCTTGCCGTGGCGCTGCTTGGTTTTTAATTCGACGTCCGTCCAGACCTTGGCCCACGCGCCGCGGATCATGTCGTCCTCCTGGACGCGCCGCTGGGCCTCGGCGGCGCTGTAGATGACGCGCACGATGACGACGGCGGGCAACACGCAGGGCCGGTGGCCCTTCGTGCGGCCCTTGTCGTCGACGCACTCGCAGCGCTCGAACTGGACCTTGTCCAGCTGCGCGACGTGGCCGTAGGGGCCCTGGTACTTCTGGATCGCGTCCTTGAGGACCTCCAGCGTGTACTCGAAGAGGGACGGCGGCAGCCGCTCCTTCAACACGTCGAAGAGGGGCGGCCGGTGCTTCTTCCGGTGCTTCGTCGGCCGCGCGTCCTTGACGAGCGCGTCGAGCGCGAGCGCGAGGCACCCCACCTCCTCGCCCTTGCGCCCCCAGGGCCGGTCCTCCTCGATGAGGACGCCGCAGGCGAAGCGCCGGAATCGCGAGTCGCCGTTCGAGTTCACCTCCTCGACGACCAAGTCGATGAGCGCCTGGAGCACCGTGTGGTAGAACGTGTGCTCGCGCTCGTGCCGCAGGTTGTCCACCCGTTCCAAGATCTCCAGGTCCGTCGACGGGCACCCGTAGTAGGGCCCGTTGAGGTACTTGTCCGTCTGGGCGTCGAAGTTCATCAGGTCGTCGGGCGTCAAAAAGCCCGTGCGCCCCGTCAGGACGCCGTAGGCCTCCGGCGCGAGGTGCGCGGCGTCGAAGTCGAACTGGAACTCCGATAACAAGGTCTTGAACTTCTCGATGCGCACGTCCCGCAGGCGGCAGTACTGGAGCAGGATGGTCATGCCCTCGCTCAGGAGCTCCGCGGGCGGGTTCCGCATGGGGTTGTACTCGACGTGGACCGTCGTCAGCGCCTCGCACGTCGGCAGGCACGACGGCAGCTCCAGGAGGTTGTTCGACGCGACGCCGAGCACCTTGAGCGTCTTCGACGCCTTGCCGATGAAGGTGTCGGCCTCGAGGCGCTCGAGCCGGTTGTGCGACGCGCGGAGGATCCGCAGCGGCAGCTCCCCGAGCCGCGCGGGCAGGAGGTTCAGCTCGTTGGCGTCGAGGTTCAGCGACGTTAGGGAGCTCAGCCCCGGGGACAGCACGGGCAGCTTGTAGAGGTTGTTCACCGCGACGCTCAGGTCCTTGAGCATCCGCAACCCCGTCACGGAGTCGGGCAGGTACTCGAGTCGGTTCATGGCCAGGTCCAGCTTCTCCAGCGCCGTCAGCGTGCCGATCTTCTCCGGGAGCACGTACAGACGATTCTTCGCCAGGTTCAGCACCTCGAGCCGCCGCAGCCGGTTGAACGTCCGCGGCAGCCCCGTGAGCCGGTTGTCCTCGAGGTCCAGCTCCTTGAGCCGCTGCAGGTAGTCGATGTCGTCGTCGAGCTCCTTGATCTCGCAGGCCCGCAACCACAACGTCCGCAGGTTGCCCAGGGACGGCGTGATCAGGGGCTTCTCCTTGAAGTGGTTCATGTTGAGCTTGAGCACCTCGAGCGACTCGAGCGCGGGGTGCATCCAGACGTCCGGCTCGCCCTTCTTGCCGCGGATGCGCACGGCGCCGGGGATCTCCTGGACGCCCTGGAGCTGGAGCTCGAGCTTCCTGGACTCCTGCGTGTCTTTCACGGCGTCGGCGATGCGCCGCTGGTACGCGGGCTCGGGCTCCAAGACCTCGTCCGCGACGCCGATGCGCCGCGCCTCGACGACGGGCAGCGGGCCGTTGACCAACGCCCAGTACTTCTGGCGGCAGCTCCACATCATCATGGGCAAATCGCTGATGGTCTCGTAGGGCGGGTCGATGAGCGGGTTGTTGAAGACCTGGAGCTCCAAAAGCGTCGTCAGGAAGCCGACCTCGTACGGCAGCGTCGTCAGCGAGTTGTTGCCGAGCATGAGCCGCCGCAACCCATGCAACCGCCCGACCAGGGGCGGCAGCCGCTCGAAGCGGTTCGACTGCAGGCTCAGGAATTCCAAATTCGCGAGCTTCGCGGTCGACGCGGGCAGCTCGCTCAATTCGTTCGTCGTGCAGTCCAACCGCGTGAGCCGCGACAGCGACCCGAGATCATCCGGCAAGGACCGCAGGTAGTTGTCGCGCACGCGCATCATCTCCAGATTCGACAGCTCGCGCAGCGACGGCGGCAAGACCCGAATCTGGTTCCGGTCCAGCTTGAGCTCCTTCAGCGACCGCAGCCGGCCCAGCGTGTCGAGCGACGCGGGGAAGTCGAGCGAGTCCTCGCCGTTGACGTTGGACGTGTAGACCATGGCGTTGGCGTCGTCGCTCCAGGCGACGCGCCACTCGTTGACCCACATGCCCGCGAGCTCCATCTTCCGGTGGTTGTAGGCGGCCGTGTGCAGCCGGAGCGCGGGTTCGGGCTTCGGCGCGCGCGCCCTCTTGCCCCGCCGCGAGTTGCGGCCGAGATCGAGGCCGCCGTTCTCCGCCTTGGCGAGGCGCAGCGCGACGGGGATCGTGCGCTGGACCTTGCCCGTGCGCAGGTTGCAGTAGTAGGGCTTGTGGCTCAGCGGCTCGACGCGCGCGTCCCAGTCCTCCTCGCCGGACGTCTTCTTCCGCGCGACCTCCGGCAGGTTCGGGAAGATGCACAGGTGCGTGAGGCCGTTGCCGCTCAGGTCGAGCTTCACGAGGTCGTGGAGCCGCGGCAGCGTCGACGGCAGCGTCTGCAAGATGTTGTCCGCGAGGCTCAGCGTCTCCAGCGACGTGAGCGCGCCGAACTCGTCGGGCAGGTCCTTGTAGTTGTTGTGCGTCAGGTCGAGGTGCACGAGCCCCTCGAGGTGTAAAAAACTCGGCGGCAGCTCGTGGAGCGAGTTCCGCGACAGGTCCAGGATCACGAGCTGCTGCAGCAGGCCGATGTCCTCCGGGAGGAACTGGAGCGCGTTGCCCGGGAGCCGCAGCTCCACGAGCTGGACGAGGGACCGGCAGCCGATCTGGGGCGTGCGGCCGAAGCTGTGGAGCGTCTCGATCTTGTTCCGCGGGAGCTGGATGAGGTTGATGCCCAGCTGGAGGTGGAGCGTCGTGCCGAGCGCCGCGGGCAGATCGCTGAGCCCGCGCTCCACGCAGATCAACCCGTGCGTCTCCAGGGATCGGTAGCCCTCGCGCTGGGCCATGTCGTCGACGACGGGCGGCGCGTCGCAGGGCTCGCCCGTCGCGCCGCCGCGGCGCCACATCGGCGGCGGCGGCGCGAGCTGCTTGTGCTCGACGGCAAAGGGCTTGTACTGGAGCGTCGGCCAGGCCAGCGCCGCCTCGATGCACGCCTCGTACTCGTCGAGCTCCGGCTCGAGCTCGGCGGCGTCGAAGTCCTCGCCCTCCATCTCGAGGGTCTCGCGGTACTCGACGATCTCCGACCGCGTCCGCTCGTCCTCCGCGAGCGCGTCGCAGACCGCGTCCGGCAGCACGAGCAGGGCCTCCGTGACCGTGATGGACCCGCTCCGGTCGCAGTCCGACGCCGCCCACCACTCGGCTTCGCGCGTCGCCGCGAGCTCCAAACTCGGGATGCCGAGGTCGTCCGCGTAGGGGTCCGACCGCCCCGCGAGGCCTGGGCAGCACAAGAGTGATTCAACGTCGCTTCAACGTGAGTGTTCCGCGCGCGCGCGTTCCGGAAAAAAGCATCCACGCTGCGAGACCGTTCCGAGAGATGATCGCTCGTCCAAAAATCAGCCGAAACGAGTGGGAAACGGCCGAGATATGAGCCTTTGAAGTTGGGAATTTCGCTCTCTTTTGCTGCCCTGCGCGAGGCCCATGAGGTCCAGGACGTTGCGGAACTCGGCGCGGCTCAGCTTCCCGTCGCCGTCGTCGGCGGCCTTGAAGGCCTCGACGACGGCGGCCTGGCGCCGGAAGTCGCGCTGGATCGACGCCGCGACCTGGTTCTTCTCGACCTCCATGCGCCGCAGCGCGACGCGGTCCGCGTCGTCGCCCTCGAGGCTGCCCGGGTACTTTGTGCGCGGGTTCACGGGCTCGGGCCGCGGCGGCGGCGCGGGCTTGGGCATCATGCGCTTCCGCCGCGCGATCTGCTGCTCGATGGGGTTCGTCAGCGTCGGCGTGCCCGTCGTCGTCGACAGGCGGACGACGGTCGCGAGCTCCGCGGCCGCGAACTGGGCCCGGTGCTCCTTCTCGAGCCGCTTCGCGCGGTTGACGATCTGCTCCTCGCGCGCGCGGCGCAGGGCCCGCCGCGCGAGGACGTAGGTGCCGTGCGTCGCCAGCAGCTGGCCGAACTCGATCTTCACGGCGCGGTCGTCGTGCTTGCGCACGGGCGGCTTGATCTTCGGCAGCTTCGGCAGCGGCAGGGGCGGCTCGACGAAGCTCGAGTCGCTGCTGCGCCGCGACTTGCCGCTCACGACCGTCGAGTTGTCGTCGCTGCCGGTCTCGAGGCGCCGCGTGTGGCGCCCGTGGTCGAAGGGGTCCGCCGACAGGGACCGCCGGTTCTGGAACATGGCGTTTTTTTTAAAACCGCGGCGGCGCGGCGCGCGCTCACCGAGGGCTGCCGCGCGCGTGCAAACGGATGGGCTGCGCCGCGGGCGCGCGAAGCAGCCCGTACATGCTGCGCGCTGCTCGTCGTTGGGCCGATGATGCAGGAAACCTGATCTTTTGTGAAAAAGAGTTTCACTCAGCGCGGGCTCTCTCAGCAACATGGGGCCGTGACACTCCCCTCGCTGCGACCGTGCCCGTCGATCCCCCTACGATGGCCTCGACGATGAAGCGGCGGGCGAAGAAGGCCAAGGCCTCGCCGTCCAAGGAGGTGCGCTTCGCGGCGCCGCATCCGCTGAAGATGTTCCCGCTCCAGCGGGACGTGAACCTGACCGACGTCTGGTGCGGCCCCCGGGAGGAGGCCCGGGCGACGTGGCTCGACTGGGACGACGGCGGCGGCACCGTGGAGACGCGCATGAGCTCGACGGCGGGCCTCGACGCCCACAGCGCGCTCATCCGCGACTTCCGGCGCTTCGAGAGCGGCGGCCTCTTCACGACGCTGGGCCAGGAGAAGGAGGCGGCGCGGCGCGCGGCGCGGGCCTTCGCCATGACGCCCGTGAGCGGGCTGAAGCAGCTCGACCGCGAGTTCGTCGTCGTGCCGAAGAACGAGCTCCGCGAGCTCGCGAGCCTCGAGGGGAATTTGCGCGCGGAGCGGCGGCGCTTCGTCGACGACTGCGAGGACGTCATCGCGCGGGCGCGCATGATCGGCGCGGAGCGCTACCCGTTGAACGAGCCCAGCGCCGTCGCGACCTTCGTGCTCGTCGCCGCGTGCGACGAGGAGATCCGGAGGTGCGCGGCCACGGTGCGCGCGATGGAGCTCGCGCGGGAGTCCGACGCCATGAAGGAGCGCGCCGTGCGGCCCTGGCGCCGGGGCGTGAGCCGGAGCGGCGTGTCGCGGAAGCTCGCCTCCCTCGACCGGCCCGAGGGCCTGAGCGGGCGGCTGCGGCCGGAGACGGATCTCCACACCGCGCGCCTCGCGGTCGTCACGGGCTCCTGGCGCGCCTACCGCGAGCGGCAGCGCTGGCACGCGCGCATGGCCGAGACGGAGCTCATGGCCTTCGAGGACGGCTACTGCCGCTGCGCGTGGCGCGCGCGCGCCGCGCGCGACGCGCGGCTCGACTACGAGCGCTACGTGGCCCTCGTGGCCCAGTACGGCGTGCCCTTCGGCGAGGACGAGTTCGGCGCGCTCGGCGCCCGCGCCGGTTTGACGTTCCAGGCTTTGGTGGACCGGGGCGCGCGCGCGTGGCAGCGCATGTGGTGGTTCTACGCGCCGACGTACCGGCTCCGGCGGGACCGCGGCGCGACGCTGTTCCAGACGCGGTACCGCGCCTACTTCGTGCGCAAGCGCTGGGTGCCCATCCTGCATCTCCGTTTGGCCTGCGGCAAGATGCGGCCCATGAAGATCGCGCTGAGCCACTGGCGGAAGTGCATCCTGCGGACCGTCAAGACGCGGAAGCTCATCAACCGCGTCAAGTACGGCGGCGTGCGGCGCATCATCCAGGCCTGGCGCAAGCTCGTCGGCGAGGAGCACGCGGACGACGCCGTCGACCGGGTCATCGCGATGTTCGCGGACGAGCTCGTCGCCGAGGACGTCGGCATCTGCTCGCACGAGTACTCGCAGAACACGGGCGCGCGCGTCGACAACTTCGCCGCGCGGGGCGTGCTGGCCCTCGTCGACGGCGTCGTCGCCTGGCAGGTCGAGGAGCTCGTCACGACGTTCTGCGCGGACCCGCCCTCGTGGATGGACGCGAACTGGTACCTCCAGAAGACGTCCTACGAGTCGCACGTGCGCCTCGCCGCCCAGGGCGTGCTGCCCCGGGACCTCTTCGAGGACTCGCACCGGGAGCAGATGCACAACCGGACCGCGACGAAGATCCAGCGCCTCGCGCGCGGCGTCTTCGGCCGCAACGCGGTCCGCGAGAAGTTCGCGCGCGTCATCCGGAAGCGCTACGACCCGAAGACGCAGCTCTTCTTCTACCTCAACATCGTCACCAAGGCGCGCATGGAAGACCGGCCGCGCCTCGTGCCGCGGCTGTTCCCGGGGAGCGCGTTCTAAAGGAAAAGCATGGGCCTACCTTTGGGCCGCGCCATCTGGCCGCGGACCCCCCGCCATGTGCTAAGTCAAAATTGTTACAGGAGCATGTGCTCCCCGGCGAGTTTCTCCGCCTTGGGGCTCGGGCCGCCGACGATGTCGAGCCAGAGCGGGCGGCTCGCGAGGCTCACGACGCGCCGCACCTCCGCGGCCGTGCGGCCCTCGAGGGGCACGCCGTCCACGGCGACGAGCCTGGACCCCGTCTTGGCGCCGCAGCTGTCGGCCCAGGCGCCCTTGAGGACCTTCGTGACGACCAAGCCTCTCCGGCCGACGCGGTTCTTGCCCTCGGGCAGGAGCACGGACACGCCGGCGACGTCGCCGTAGGAGAATATGGCGACGTGCTTCTTGCTCCCGCGGCGCGTCGGCGACGCGGGCGTCAGCGGCTCGTCGCTCTTGGACCGGATGCGCTTGGTCGCGGCCGTGAGCTGCGTTTTTAGGCCCTCGAGCGTGTGCTCGTTGCTCGGCGGTTTCGGCTTGAACGCGCCGTAGTAGCTCACGGAGGCCGCGGACAGGGCCGCGGCCGTCGCGCCGCCTACCACGAGCGACTCGACGAGCGGCATGCTAGAGAGTGAGTGGCTGCTGTGCGGGCAGTTTCAGCAGATGAGACGCTCTTGCAGCGACGCAGGAGCGTCGGCGCGCGTGCGAGGCGATGCGCGACGCGAGAGCGCTGGCAAGCTGGGTGACGACTCGGCTAGACGGCGCGGCGGCAGCGCGCGGGCGTCGAGTCGTGGTAGAAGAAGCAAGGAATGCGCTCGGCGCTGAAGCACCACGCCCTGTTGGCGGCACTCATGACCTGTTGAGGCGGCACTCATGACCTGGACCATGATACGGTCTGAAGCAACGCGCGGGGCTGCCCCCGTCCGTCGTCGTCGGCGCCATGTACGGCTTCAGCGGCGGCGCGCTGCTCAAGGATGTGGAGAAGGCGCGGCAGGAGATGGACCAGGTCAACGCGCAGCTCGGCGCGACGCGGCGCCAGGCCATGGCGCGCGCCGCGCGGCAGCGCGAGAAGGCGGAGCTGCGGAGCGCCCTCGCGGGGAAGAAGCGCCTGCTGAGCGCGGCGGCCAAGGGCAGCGTGCTGCGGCTGAACAGGGGCCACGGCGAGGACAGCGCGCGCGCCGCCGACGAGGCGCTCATCACCGCCACGTTCCGGAAGTTCGACGTCGACGGCTCCGGGAGCATCGACGTCGCGGAGCTCGGCGACGCGCTCCAGATGGTGCTGGGCAAGCGGCCGAACCGGGAGACGGTGAAGCAGCTCTTCGCCATCGCCGACACGGACGGCAACGGGACCCTCGACTTCGAGGAGTTCTCCCAGCTCGCGAGAAAAGGCGAGCTCGTGAACCGGAAGCTCCTCAACCCGAAGTACCGCTTCCTCATGCAGGCGCGCCACGAGCGCGCCGCGGAGCGCGACGCCCAGGCCGCGGCGCTGGCGGCGAAGAAGGCGCAGATCGAGGAGGCGGGGCGCCGGATCGACGAGACGCGCGCGGAGTGGGAGCTCGTCTGCGCGGCGCGGCGCCGGGAGAACGCCGCGGAGCACCGGCGGGCCATGGCGGCCAAGGCCGCCTGGCTCGCGGAGCGGGACCGGTCGGGCCTGCACCGCCAGGCCATGGCCGCGAAGCGGCGCGCGGCGAACCTGCGGACCTACCGGAAGAACGCGACGAACGGCTCGGACGCCGTCCGCGCGAAGCGCGCGCTGGCTTTACAGGGCACGCTCTACGACGTCTGCCGCACGACCATGCACCTCGTGGGCGAGGACGACCACCGGAAGCGCGTGACGACGAAGCTCGGCCTCGACCAGCAGCGCTACTACGTGGGCTCGCGCCAGGACGAGGAGACGCTGCGCAAGTCGGAGTCCTGGCGCCAGCCCCACGCGGCGGCCTACTTCGGCGAGTCGCTCGTCGGCGAGTCGTCGATCTTCGGCGCGTCCGCGGACGTGCTCACGGCCGCGGGGCCCGCGCCGTCCGCCGAGGCCGCGCCGTCCCGGGACGGCGACGCGCTCGCGCTGCCGGCGCCGCCGCGGTCGCCGCTCGGGTCGCCCGGGGGCTTCGACCCGGCCGCGTCCGTCTCCTTCCACCCGTCGGTCCAGTTCAACGACCTCGCCGCGTCGTCCGTGCTCTCGCCGAACCCGCTCTTCGACCCCCTCGCGTCGGCGAGCGTGCTGTCGCCCATGCCACGGTAAGTCACGTCTAGAGGAGGTGGCGGGGCGGCGGCACGCGTTGTCGAGGCGTCTGGAGGAGGCGTCGGAGGCCTCCGAGGAGGCCTGGCCTGGAGTCGCTTACTGCTAGCCCGGGCCTCCGAGGTCGCGCGCGCCGCGGCCGCGCAGTTGGCGCCACTCCACCTCGAGCGACGCCGTCGGCCACGACCGCGGCCTCGCGCCGCAGCGAACGATGCGACATCCGAACATGGCCGCCGGCCGCGGCCTCTACGCCTTCGAGGAGGGCGCGTCCTACGGCGTCGACGAGCCGTCGCTCCCGGACCTGGGCGAGCTCTGGGAGAAGGGCCTGGACTGGCAGCGGCTCGGCCCGCTGCTTCGGCGCGCGGCGCGCGTGGACCAGATGGACTTCGAGGCGGCGCTCGACGAGATGCTGAGCCTCTGCTTCTGCGACCCGCAGCGCGTCTTCAAGCAGGCCTACTACCGGAAGCAGACGAAGAACGCGTGGGCGCGCGACGACCCGGCGTTCGCGCTGCTCCAGTGCGGCTTCCTGGCCGTGGCGGCCGTGGCCACGGGCTGCGCCGTGTCGGCGGCGCGCGCGGGGACCTACTGCTACCTCGTGGCCGCGGCGGCGGGCGGCCACTGGCTCGCGGGCGGGCTGCTGGCGGCGACGGCGCACGCCGTCGTCGCGAACGCCTTCCTCCAGGACCGGTCCCGCGGCAGCCACAGCGTCGCCCAGTCCGTCGAATGGCTCTACGCCTTCGACGTCCACTGCGACGCCTTCTTCGTCTACTTCCTCGTCGCCTACGTGGGCCACTACCTCGTGCTGCCGCTCGCCCTGGGCCACAGCTACGCGGCGATGCTCCTCGCGAACGCGCTCCACCTCGCGGCGACGGGCGCCTACTGGTACGTGACCCACCTGGGGTTCCGGGCGCTGCCCTTCCTCCGGCGCACGGAGGTCTTCCTCTACCCCGTCCTCGCGGCGGCCGCCGCGTTCCTCGCCGCGCTCGTGCTCGGCGTCTTCGGCGCCAAGCTCAACGCGTCGCGCGTCCTCCTCGCCGCCGTCCTCAGCCCGCTCTCGACGTAACGGTGTTTTATCCATGGGTCGCGGTGTTTCGGTGGTCTTCGCGGTACGTCGCGGTCTCGCCGCGCGACTCGCGACGACCGCGCAACGGAGCCGTACGTAAGAGGTGAGCCGTCCCGCGATGCGTGCGGTGCGAGACGAGAGGTTGTTGCTAATGTGGGACACCTGCGAATTGAGTGCGACACAGTGTGCTCCTGCACGATCGCCACGCTTGCAATGCAATTGATGCGGGCCGTGATCCGAGCTCAAGCACGGCGAGGTGACATCAAATCAGGAGTCCGTCGCGCCCGACCAGTCGAGCGAAAGCACGGCACGGGTTACGCGGCTTCCCGGCGCTTCGTTCCCCCCCTGCGACGCCGGCCGCGCGATTTCACGCATCGCCGACGCTCGCGAGGCCATGCCGATTTGAAACAGTTTCGCCGAGAGCATGGGCGACCCGTCCTACGTCTATCCGGCGCCGGACATGCCCCCCTACGACCGCGGGCCGGCCGTCGTCACGGACGAGAACCAGAGCCAGTCGCTCCAGAGCGACCACAGCCGCGGGTCGTTCGGTCCGCAACGGTTCGCGAACACGCTCGCGTCCGGGCCTGTGTGGAAATCAAATCTTCAACCCGACTTCAATGTGAGCGTATGCGACGGTTTCGACGCGAGGCTTTCTGCCGTGCTTCGAGAACTCGATGAGAGCAATCGATTCGTCCAAAAATCAGCCGAATCGACGTCGATTTGACCGAGATAGAGAGTTCTGAAGTTTGGTGGGGGGCCCCCAAACCAGTGGTTGATTTCCACACAGGTCCGGGAAAGTCAAGGAGCAGCGGCTCAAGTCGCGCCTGGGCGGCGACATCGCCGTCTTCATCGAGATGGACGACGGCGGCGGCGACGTCTTCCTGAGCGGCCGCGTGTCGCCGCGGCTGCCGGCTTCCGGCGCGCGCGTGACGTTCCGCCTGAGCCTCACGGCGGAGCGGCGCTGGGTCGCGAAGAACGGCGAGTGGCTCTACGAGGGCTTCCTCGCCCAGGCGGCGCGGCCCGTGCCCCGGCGGCCCGGCGCCCGCGTCGAGGGCGTCGTGTCCACGCGGAAGCCGTCGAGCGCGTGCTGCTGGATCACGATCGGCGACCTGGACGGCGGCGTCTACTGCCTGAGCAAGTGGTGCCCCGGCGCCGCGAGCCCGCCCCTGGGCGCCATCGTGTCCTGCGAGCTCAAGCAGGGCAAGTACGGCGACTGGCGCGTCGCGAGCCCGCCGGGCCTCGCCGTCGTCACGCAGGAGGCGCGGTTCCTCGAGACGGGCCGCCTCTTCGACGACGCGCCGCCGTCGCCGCGGAGCGGCGCGGACCTCTGGCACGCGGCCCCGGCCTACTACCCGCCGGCCCGGGCCGACCCGCGCGCGGCGACGAACCGGACGCCGCCGTCGCCGGTCCGGTCGCTCGCGGCGGGCCTGAGCTCGCTCCTCGGCCGCGTGTCGCTCGGCGACCCGAACAAGCCGCCGCCGCCGGACCGCCGCGAGGCGCCGCGCGGGCCGAGGGCCGAGGGCGAGGCCTCCTACCCGCCGCGCATCGCCGCGCCGCCGCGCATCATCGACGACCGGCGCGACTGGGGCGGCCCGCCGCCGCCGCGGCCGCCGCGCGTCCTGGGCATGGCGCTGCCCACGTGGGGCGCGCCGCCGGCGCCCGCGCCCGCGCCGCGCTGGGACCCGCGCTACGACCCGGCCCTGCCGCCGGCCATGCTCCCGCCGCTGTCCGCGCCGCCGGGCGCGATGTCCCCGCCGTCGGGTTTCCACCGCGGGAGCGCGCCGCGGCCCCGCGGCGGCGGCGACGACTACCCGCGCGGCGGCGACGACGACTACCCGCGGCGCTCCTAGCGACCGCGACGAAGTCGACGCGGGCACGGCCCGCGCGCAGCAAATCACACAAGTAAGATTCCGTTGGTTAGCCCCGCTCCCGCCGCATGCGCGCCTCGACGTCCTTGAGCTTGACGCCCGAGCCGCGGCCGTCGCGGTGGTACAGCGTCAGCGCGGGGCCCGACGAGTTGCGGCCGCCGCGCGCCTCCTTGGCGAAGGCGGAGACGGAGTCGAAGACGCGGCGGCTCGCCGGGTGGCCCGCGCGGAGCGCGCCGGCCGCGATCGCGAACTTCCCCGCGGCCGTCAGCTCGCCGCGGAAGCCCGCGGGCGCGCCGTTGACGGAGAGCACGCGCTCGCCGGGGACGAGGTAGCCCTGGCGGATGAGGGGCAGGACGCTAAAGTTTCCCCCGCGCGGCGCCGCGCCGGACCGCGGCGCGGGCGTCCTTCGCGGCGCGGGCCGCGGCGCGGGCGCGGTCCGCCGCGCCGCGGGCCGCGCGGCCGCCGCGCCGCCGCCGAAGAAGCCCGCGATGCTCCGCTGGCCCGCGGGCGCGGGCGCCGCGGGCGCGGGCGCCGGGGCCGGCGCCTCGCGCGGCCGCGCGCGCGCGGCCTCGCGCAGCGCGCGCGCCTCGTCCGAGTCGCTGCGCACGTACGCCGGGCAGCCCGCGATCTTCGTGCGGCACATGGGGCACTCCGTCAGCTGGGCGACGCACTCGCGGCAGAGGCCGGGGCAGCCGCAGGGACGGCACGAGTAGTCGCCGAGCTCGTCCATGCACACGAGGCCACTCGGCCGCGTCCTCGCCGTCGGACGCGTCCGGCGGCGGCGGCGCGGTCGTCGGGATCGGCGGCGGCGCCGTCGGCGGCGGGAGCGGCGGCGGCGACTCGCCGTTAACAGCCCGCTCGCGCGCCGCCCGCCGCGACGCCTCGAGCCGTCTCATCCGCTCGGCGAACGCGACGCACTCCGCGCAGTCCCAGCCGTTGCCGTGCACGCAGCGGCCCTCCGGCGGCGGCGCGGCGGACGGCGCGGCGGTGGACGTCGTGGACGACGAGCTCGCGGCCTCCGCCTCGGGCGCGGCCTCGGACGGCGCGGTCTCCGCCTCGGGCGCGGCCTCGGACGGCGCGGTCTCCGCCTCGGGCGCGGCCTCGGACGGCGCGGTCTCCGCCTCGGGCGCGGCCTCGGGCGGCGCGGCGTTGGCCGCCGACAGAACCGCGACGAACACCTCCGCCGACGGCGCGGCGTCGGCCGCGGAAGAGGCCGCGGCGACGGCGGGCGCCTCCTCGGGCGCCGGCGGCGGCGTCGCGGCGCCGGCGACCGGTTCCGCCGCGACGCTGGGCGCGGGCGATCCGCCGGACGCGAGGCGGGCACGCTTCTTCGCCTCGCGGAGCTCAACGGCCGCTTGCCGCTTGCGGTCGAGCTCTTCTCGCTTTCGCTTCTTCTCGAGGGCCGCTTCGCGCGACGCCGCGATCTCTTCCGGTGTCCGTAAACGCCGTGCGGGCTGGAGCGCCGCGGCCGGCACCGCGGGAGGCGCGGTGGGAGCCGCCGCAGGGACCACCTCGGTGTCCATTGCGCACGGCCGAGGCGCCTAGGCCTCGCGAGGTCGATCGTGCAGTCAAACAAAGCATCGATCGTGTGACAGCCGCGTCCAGCCGCTGGATCGAGTGTCGAGGAGCAGCGAGGCGCAGCGAGGAGCAGCGCAAGCACAAAAAGCACAGGCTCGAGCAGCCGCGGGCATGGAGATGGACCGGCTCGAGGAGGAGGCCCAGACGGACGTCGACAAGGAGATCGAGGAGGAGATCGAGCAGGCGCGGGCCGCCGACGCCGCCAAGGCCGCGTCGCCGCCGCCGAAGCGCGGCAGCGTGCTCGCCGCCGTCTCGTCGAAGCTCTCGACCTTCCGCCTCGGCGCGTCGCCGGAGCCGGCGCCCGGCGACGACGCCGCGGCGGTTTCGCGGGAGCGCTACGCGAAGCGGCTCGAGGACGGCATCGAGGCGAGCGTCGAGTGCGGCCGCGTCGTCGGCGGCGCGCGCTACTACAGCGTGCGCTGCCGGCGCGCGGGCTTCCAGCCCGCGACCGTGGCGCACCCGCTGACGGCGTTCAGGGACTGCCGCGCGGCGCTGCGGTCCGCGGGCCAGGCGGAGCTCGTGCGGTCCGACTTCCCGCTGCCGCGGTCCGCGAGCCTGGAAAGCCTGGGGTCCCTCTTCCGCGGCGACGACGACGCGCGGCGCGAGGCCGACGACGCGAAGCGCGCGGCCGCGCTGGACGCGTGGCTCTCCGAGGTCGTCACGCTCGCCAAGTGGGGCACGCTCGCGCCCGGCGTCGTCGCCGAGGTGCGCGCCCTGCTGCACGCCGACGAGCTCGAGCCGGAGGTCGTGATCGCCGCCCCGGCGCCCGCGCCGGCCGCCGCCGCGCCGCGCGCGCGCCGCGGCGGCGCGCCGCGGCGGTCGCAGAGCCTCAAGCCCGCGACGTTCTCCGCGCTGCCCCAGGTCGAGGAGGCGGCGCCCGCGGCGGCCCCCGGTGCCGTGGCTACCGACGTCGAGGCCAAGGCGCGGCGCATCGCCGAGCTGGAGACCGTCGTCGCGTCCCTGAAGAAGCGCATCGCGACGATCGACCCGGGCAACGACGTCGAGGCGAGCCTGGAAGATCTCGAGCGCCAACTCCGCGACACGGCGGCGAAGCTCCTGGCCGGCGACGAGAGCGTCGAGAACGAGCTGGAGCGGCTGGACAAGGCGATCCGGAGCCACCCGGAGCACGCGGAGCGCGTCGCACTCGCCGCCGCCAAGTGGGAGGCCGCGCAGAAGCCGCGCAACGCGGCGGCGCTGCGGGACGTGCGGCGCTTCGTGCCCGAGAACATCTTCAAGTCGACGGCGAAGAAGATCGAGGTCGCCTACGCCGCGCGCGCGGCCCGCGGCGACCTGCCGCCGCGCGCCGCGGCGACGCTGGCGAAGCGCGTCTGGACGACGCAGGTGCTCTGGCTCGTCTGGCTCGACCCCGAGCGCATCGCGAAGCTCCACCCGGCGGACCTGCGGGGCCGCTACGCCGTGACGGGCCTGGACATCGAGGAGACGCGGGCCGTCTACGCCAGGGCAGCAAAAGAGAGCGAAATTCCCAACGTCAAAGGCTCCGATCTCGGCCGTTTTCCACTCGTTTCGGCTGATTTTTGGACGAGCGATCATCTCTCGGAGCGGTATCGACGCGTGGGCGCTTTTTCCGGAACGCGCGCGCGCGGAACACTCACGTTGAAGAGACGTTGAATCACCCTTGTGCTGCCCAGGTCTACGCCGTGCTCCCGGAGGCGTTCGACAACGACCCCTCGGGCGACAAGACGCGGTGGCGCGCGCAGATCCGCACGAAGCTCGAGGAGTTCGTGGACCGCGAGGCGCGGCAGGCGCTGACCAAGGCCGAGGCGCGCCACGCGGCCTACCGCCCCGCGCCCGCGGCGCTCGACGTCAACGACGGCACCGTCGACGCGGACGAATTGACGCGGGCCGCGGCCGCGCCGTCGCTCGACCTCGACGCGCGGCCCGCGGCGGAGGACGCGCCGAAGCGGCCGAAGCTGCCGAAGCCGCCGGTGCTCAAGGAGGACGTCGCGGCGCCGAAGAAGAAGAAGGCGCAAAAGGCCGCGCCCGTGGACCTCCTCGCCGCGCTCAAGAACCGCGAGAACAAGCGGCGCCACTCGACGGCGTCCTAGGCCGCGCCATTTTTAAGAGGCGCACAGTTTTTATGGGTCGTCGTTCCAGTGGTCGTTGAAGGCGGCGTACTTGTCGACGTCCGTGAGCGGCCGCTGGATCTCCTGGCGCTCGAGGTCGACCTCGTCCTTGGGCGCGTCGCCCGCGGAGAAGAGGCAGGCCGCCGCGACGGCGAGCAGGAGCGCCGTCGGGTACCAGATCGCGTTCGGGTGGTGGACCATGGGCGCGCGCGTCGTGTTGTAGACGTAGAGGTAGAGCGTCGTCGCGACGACGGACGCGAGCGTCACCGTCGCGTGGAGCGCGCCCTGGAGCTGGCCCTTGCTCGTGTCCCGGCCCGGCCGGTCCGTCAGCGCGCCGAAGACGACGGGGATGACGCCGAAGCTCTGCGCGACCAGCGCGCCGAGCGCGACGACGGAGGAGTCGCCGTACGCGCGCGACCGCGCGACGCCGCGCGACTCGGGCGCTGCGACGGCGAGGGACCCGAGCGCCGCGAGCGCGACGTGGAGCGCGACGCCCCGGAAGCCCAGCGACGGCAGCGAGCCGCGCATGAGCGCCACGGACCCGACGCCCGCGGCGACCTGCGTCGCGACGAGCCAGACGGACGTCTCCGCGTAGCCCCAGCCGAACTCGCGGCGGCCCCAGTAGATGGACATGGAGAAGACGCCCGCCTGGGCCGTGTGGAGGCAGAAGAAGGCGACCAAGAGCCGCCGCGACCGCCGGCTCCGGCAGAGGATCGGCAGCGTCTGGATCTGCCGCGCGAGGAGCGACGCGGCCACGCGGAGCGCGCGCTCGCAGACGAGCCGCGCCTCGCGGCTCCGCGGCGCCGGCGCCGTCTCCGGCAGGCAGCACCAGAGCGCGGCGTACATGGGCAGGCGGCAGAGGCCGCACGCGAGCATGGCCTTTTTCGCCGGCAGCAGCTCGAGCAGAACATACCCGACGGCGCCGCTGCCCGCGAGCTGGCCTAGACCGGTGATGACCCACTTGTAGTAGAACGCGACGGCGTACCGCTGCTCCGACGTCGACGGGCCGTCGCCCTCCAAGATCCCGTAGACGAGGCGCGTGAAGCAGTCGTCCCGCGGCCCGCCGATCTCGTGGCCCGCGTCGACGCAGTCGACGATGACGACCTTGCCGAGCGCCGACGACGCGTCGAGGAACCCCAGCACGAACATGTTCAGATCCCAGGTCGCGATGGACCCGGGCAGGAGGCCCAGCAGCGTGAGCTGCACGACCTGGGCCGTGCAGGAGAACAAGAAGAGCGGCCGCCGGCCCACGAGGTCGCTCAGCGTCGCGAGCAGCGGCGACGCGATGGACGAGCCCAGCGCGCCGACGGCCCAGCCCGTGGAGCTCTTGATCGACGCGTGGCGCTCCGACTCGCCGCGCACGTCCACCAAGTAGTAGCTGTAGACCGACTGGTAGATGCCCCAGGAGAGACCGTCGCTGAGGTCGAAGCCGTAGATGCAGCGCCGCGCGCGGTCGTAGCGTCTCTGGTCCGCGTCGTCCGGCAGGAGCGGCGACGCGTCGGTGGGGGCGAGCATGGCTGCGGTCGAAGGCGAGCACGACTGGCTATGAGGCCATTACGGGGCTGCCCTACTCAGTCGCGGCTCCATTGCGCGCAGGAATGCTGGTGAGGTCACGGGCGCCAAGTTGGTGTTGACAGCAACCCAGCGAGAACCAGCGAGCCGCGCGCCGACGAGCAGCCATCGCCGGAGGACGCGTCCAGCAGCTCGTTCAGACGCGCGCCGCCGCGTCCATCGCCCTTCGGGAGAGCGCGCTCCCCCTTTACCCCGCGCCGCTCACCCGTACGCCGCCCGCAGGTACTAAAAAACAATCATGGGTGACGTCGAGGGCTTCGAGACCGCGGACGCCGGGGCGTCGGAGACGATCCCCATGGAGGCGGGCCAGATCCGCAAGGGCGGCTACATCTGCATCAAGAACCGCCCCTGCAAGGTCGTCTCCGTCTCCACGTCGAAGACGGGCAAGCACGGCCACGCCAAGTGCAACTTCGTCGCCACGGACATCTTCACGGGCAAGAAGCTCGAGGACATCGTGCCGTCGACGCACGGCACGACGGTCCCCAACGTCTTCCGCATGGAGTACACGCTCCTCGACATCTCCGACGAGGACTACCTCTCCCTCATGGACGAGTCCGGCGAGGCCCGCGAGGACCTCCAGATGCCCAAGGGCCCCGACGAGCTCGTCAAGTCGATCCGCGAGGGCTTCGACGCGGGCGACTCGCTGTCCGTCGTCGTCGTCAAGGCCATGGGCGAGGAGCACGTCATGTCCTGCAAGAAGGACACGTCGGCCTAGATTGTGAACACGAAGATCTGGCAACCGCGGCCGCGCCAGGAGTCGGCCGCAAAAAAAAACACAAACACGAACGCCGCCGGTCGCCGTCCCGGACCGGACCCACCCCGAACCAACCCGCCTAAAAAAGACCACTCTCTCTCTCTCTCCTCTGCAGCGGAGGGGCTGGGACGCGGACCCCGGATTAGGACCGCGCGCGCAGGTCCCGCGGCTTCGCGCGCTCTCTCTCTCCTGTGCAGCGGACGCGGACCCCGGATTAGGACCACGCGCGCAGGTCCCGCGGCTTCGCGTTTCCCCAGTCGTCGCCCGAGTCGTCGGAGTCCGAGGCCTCGGGCGTCGCCGGCGGCGGCGCGGCCGGCGGCGGCGCGGGGGCCGGCGGCGGCTCCGGCGCTCGCTCGGCCGCCTCGGTCCCGCCGAGCGCGCCGCGGAGCCGCGCGTGGGCCTCGGGCGTCGCCTCCGAGTCGTCGTCGGAGCTGGCCTCGACGGCGGGCGGCCTCGGCGGGCGGCTCGCGAGCTTGGCGCGCTCGCGGTCGACGCGCTCGCGCATGCGCCGGACGCGGTCCTCCGTCTCGCGCCGCCGCGCCGCGCGCTCCGCCGCACCGGACCGCAGCGTCTCGACGTGCGTCTCGAGGTCGCGCCGCACGCCCTTGATCTCCTCGGCGTGGGCCTGGAGCACCTCGTTCGACGCCTCGACGAGCTCCGGGTCCTCGGCGCCCGCGGCGCGCTCGCGCGCGCGGAGCGCGGCGGCGACGGCCTCGGCGACGCGCGCCGCCGTCCGCACGACGGGCGCGTGGGCCGCCCGGGGCGCCGGCGCCTCGACGTCGTCGTCGACGAGCGCCTTCTGCTCCTCGCGGAGCGGCGGCGGAAACGCCGACGGCGGCGGCGCGGCCTTCCGCGGCGGCTCGAGCGCCTTCGGCGGTGCGTCGTCGTCGGCGGCGGCGATGGGCGCGAGCTCCGCGCCCGCGCGGAAGTCCTCCTCGGCGGACTCGCGCGGCGCGTTCCGCCGCGCGCGGCGGGCCAGGCAGGCGCAGATCGCGACGAGGACGGCGCAGACCGCGACGACGAGGTAGATGCCCGCGCTCGCCGCGTCGGCGCCGTCGTCGTCGTCGGAGGAGGACACGACCGACGCCGACGGCGCGGGCGTCGGCGCGCCCGTGGGCGGCGGCGTCTCGTAGGTCGGCGGCGGCGACGGCGCCGCGGTCGGCGCGCGCGACGGCGGCGGCGACGGCGGCGGCGTCGCGGCGGCGCTGGGCCCGCTCGTGCGCCGCGACGGCGGCGCCGACGGCTGGGGCGACGGCGCGTAGGACGGCGCGGCGCTCGCGGCCTCCGAGGGCGCGTACGACGGCGGCTCGGTGTCGAAGACCGTCGGCTCCGGCGTCGGGTCCGGCGGCGCCGTCGGCGCGTAGGACGGCGCGGGCGAGTCGAAGGCCGTGGGCTCGGCCGAGGGCTCCGGCCGCGCCGTCGGCGCGTAGGAGGGCCCGGGCGACGAGAACGCGGACGGCTCCGGCGACGGCGCCGCGGTCGTCGGCGGCGCCGTCGGCGCGTAGGACGGGCCGGACGACGACGGCTCGGCGGAGGGCAGGGACGACGGCGCCGCCGACGGAATCGCCGACGGCGCGGCCGAGGGCGCCGCGGACGGCGCCGTCGACGGCGCGCGCGACGCGTCGCCCGTCGGCGGTGGCGACGGCGCCGCGGACGGCGGCGTCGACGACGACGGCGCGACGGTCGGCGCGAGCGACGGCGCGAGCGTCGCCGAGGGCGCGTGGGACGGCGCCGACGACGGCGGCGGCGCGGGCCAGCCGAAGGCGGGCGCGGCGGCGACGGCGACGTTCCGCCACGTCGCGCGCGCGCCGAGCGCGCCGACGCCCGGGCCGCCGCTCCCGTAGTCCACGTCCTCGGCGTCGACGCGGTAGCGGCTCCCGTCCGCCAGGGCGAGCTCGCAGCCGACGCGCGACCCCGCGGCGACGCCGTAGAGCTCCCAGAGCGCCGCGCCCTGGAGCAGCGCCGACGAGTACGGCACGGCCGTCGCCGCGAGCGTCTCCCGCGCGTTGCCGTCGCCGGGCTTGCCGATCTCGCCTTTGATGAGCGAGAGCGCGCCCTCGACGAGGTCCACGGTGCACGCGTAGGCGACGCAGTCGAAGCACTCGGGGAAGTTCCACTCGTCGTATCCGCCGATCCGGAGGTAGACGGACCAGGGCAGCTCGCCGGAGATCTCCGGCCGGCCGACGGCGGTCACCGAATAGTTCGTCCGCGACTCGAGGAGCCAGAGCACGTTCAGGTCGGAGTCGCCGCTCTCGAGGCGGCACCCGGCGCCCGACGCCGCGTCGGACGCGCCGAAGGCGAAGCTGCCCACGGCCGTGGCCCAGCCGTCGGAGAGCTTCCGCTCGCAGAACGTGTAGTCCGAGACCGTGGCCGCCGTGAGGTGGAGCCAGAAAACCCAGAGGCCCGGCCGCGCCATGGGCGGGCGGCGGCGGCGCGCCTGTGCACAGGGCTGCTCGTCCCCCAGAATTAAAATAAGTGCCCGCGAGTTGCCCCTTACTTGAGGGAAAGATGCCTCTCCCGGAGCAAACTCTGGCTGGCGAGCTGCCTCGTCCCGTCTCGTCGCAGCGTCTCGTCGTCGCCCTCGTCTCGGCCTGAGCGCGGCGCGCCGGTGCGACGCGACCATGGGCAAGCCCGGCGGCGGCGACAAGAAGCAGCAGCTCTTCGACGCCATCGTGAACCAGAAGCTCCAGGCCGTGCGCTGGGGCGTGGCGAACGCCGGCGTGGCCCCGGCGACGCGCGACGGCGACGGCCACACGACGTTCATGATCGCGTGCCTCAACGGCAAGGACCGGAGCCTCGCCGAGATGGTGCGCTGGTACGAGCGGCGGCTGAGCCAGCTCCGCGAGTGTCTGGAGCAGGTCGACGAGGACGACGGGCGCACGTGCTTCCACATGGCGGCCGCGCACCCGAACGGCCACAAGTGCGTCCACGAGCTGCTCGACGCGTGGCTCACGGTGGACAAGAACCGCCGCGACGCCGGGCTGAAGCGCAAGGACCGGCGGGGGAAGACGCCGTACGACGTCGCGACGGCCAAGAGCCGCGCCGCGATCGACGAGTGGCTCAAGGAGCCGGAGACGGAGTCCGACGACGACGAGGTCGGCGCGGACGGCATGACGTCGACGCAGCGCTCCAAGGCGAAGAAGAAGGCGCTGCTCGAGAAGGAGCGCGCGGGCGCCGCGCCGCCGCCGCCGCCGTCGGCCGCGGACGAGGCCGCGGCCGCCGCGGCGCCGGAGCGCGGCGAGTTCAAGGAGGGCACGCCGACGCCGACGTGGCCCGAGGTCGAGAAGTGGGCCCAGTCCGTCAAGGATCTGAAGCCCATCTGCGAGCTCACCGTCGCCCGGGAGGACGCGCTGCCCTTGCTCCCTCCCGCGGCCGCGGGCGAGCCCTCGAGCGTCGTCGACCCGGCGCTCTACTGGTGCGAGTCCGTGAACCGGCTGAGCCTCAAGCTCGGCCCCCAGCTCACGTTTCTCTCCGACGGCGGCCTCGCCAAGCTCGCGAACCTCACGCATCTGATCGTGGCGTCGAACGGCTTGGAGGCGCTGCCGCCGGCGATCGCGGGCCTGCCGCTCAAATCCATCGACGCGTCCTACAACAAGCTCGCGGCGCTCCCGGAGGCCATGCCGTTTAAGACGCTCGAGGCGCTGGACGTGTCGGGCAACGCCATTCCTACTCTCTCCCCGGCGCTCGACGGCTGCTGCGACCTCGTGACGCTCGCCGTCGACGGCAACGCGATCGCGTCGCTCGACGGCCTGCCCTTCGACAAGTTCAAGCGCCTCGTGACCTTCACGGCGGGCGCCAACGCCCTCGCGGACCTGCCCGAGGCGCTCGGCGACCTCGCGAAGCTCGAGACGCTGTCGCTCAACGGCAACAAGGAGCTGGCCGCGCTGCCCTGCGCCCTCGCCAAGTGCAAGAAGCTCAAGGAGATCCGCGTCGACGACTGCGCCATCGCCGACAACAAGGTCCTCGGCTACATCCAGAAGGGCGAGATGAAGCAGCTCGCCAAGTACTTCGAGAAGACCGCGGCCAAGGGCGGCGGCGGCAAGAAGGGCGGCGGCAAGAAGGGGAAACGCTAGTGGCCCCGCGCGCCCCCTTAATCACATCCGTATCGTTCATACGACTACGCGTCGCTGTCGCTGTCGATGTCGTCCCACTTCGAGTAGTCGATCCCGGGCTTCGGCGCGGCCGGCGCCTTCTTCGGGCGACGCGGCGGTTTCGGCGGCGGCGGGCCGTCGCTGTCCTCGTCCGGGAAGTCCACGTCGCGCATGATGCCGGACCTTTGCCGGAGCTCCCAGTTCCGAAGCCCGGCCGCGCAGACGGACTTCGGGTCGGGCCCGCGGCGGAGCGCGCGCTCGAGCCCGCGCGCGGCCTGGCTTCGGAGCTTCTTGTTCCAGACGTGCGACGGAAGCGTCTTGCCCGCGAGGCAGAAGTCGCAACCGCAGGGCGCCGTCGCGCGGGGATCGCCGTGATGGTCGCAGCCCTCGGCGCCCAGGCCGGCGTCGACGCCGCAGCACGTCCAGCGGAACGCGGTGACTCTCGTCTTGACGAACTTGGCCGGGTCGGAGCCGCAGGCCGCGAACTGGTCCCGCATGCCGCGCGCCTCGCACAAAAACACGCCGCCGAAGCCCATCAATTTGCCGTCTTCGTCTTCGCCCTCCCAGTCCATGAGCTCGAGAGATCCAAAGTGGTACGAGCCGTCCTTGGCCGCGCGGTACGGGTCGACCCAGGACCCGTCGCACTCGGGCGGCCGGGACGACACGCCGCACACCGGCTTGTGGGAAGGCCAGGCCGCGCGCTGGCACTCGACCGAGCAGTACAGCGGCGGCTCGAAGACCTCGCGCTGCAGGCACCGCGCGCAGCTCGAGAGCTTCCCCTCGAGCGTCTGCTCCTTCAGGCCGCAGCGGGCGCAGGACCGGTGGCCGACGATCTTGAGCATCGCCCCGTTGCCCTGCGCCGCGCCCCGGGGCAGCTCGAGCGTCTTCCGTATTTCGTGCATCGGCTCCGTTCGCTCGACGGCGCGCTTCAGCGTCTCCCAATTGTTCTCGTCCTTGACATTTCTCTTTAAGTCCTCCATTTCGGACTTCATCTCGAGAAGCGACTGCAAATGGCGGGATCCATGCGCTGTAAGCGCATCGCCGTCCGCAGTGCGTAGCCTGTGTGACACAGACACAGACACCTCGTCCGCAGCACCTTGCCTCGCGCGCAGCTTCGCGGCGAGGCGCTCTTTCGCAGTTTTTCGCCCCATTGCGCTCGATGATGCTAGGCTAGGAGAGCGGGCTTCGCCCCATTGTGAATTGATCGATCGGGTAAACATCGCCTTAGATCTATAGAGCAGCCCGGCCTTCGGGCCCATGGGCGTCGACAAGCGCCGCGTCGTGGGCAAGGGCTCCTTGATCCGCGAGGGCAAGGAGCTCGACACGCCCAAGGTCGTGCAGCTCCCGCCGCAGACGCTCGTCTGGGGCCTCGAGGAGGCGACGTCGTCGACGGGCATCGCGCGGACGAAGGTCGAGACGCTCGACGGCGCCCACGGCGGCTGGGTGAGCGCGAAGACGCTGGAGCGCGTCGCCGACGAGGCGGGCGACGGCGCCGCGGACGACTCGGGCGGCGGCGGCTTCTGGTCCAAGTGGAAGGACAAGGTCGGCGACGGCGCCGCGGCGCCGCCCGGGCCGCCGCCGCCGGAGAAGACGCCCGAGGAGAAGCGCGCGGCCCGGGAGGCGGCGAAGCAGGCGGCGCGCGTCGCCGAGTACGAGCGCAAGGTCGCCGCGCGCCAGGCGGCCAAGGAGAAGCTCGCGAGCGCGCCGCGGACGAAGGCGGAGCGGTCCGTGCGGGAGACCATGGCCGCGGAGCACAAGGCCGCGGGCAATACGTATTTCGGCGCGAAGAAGTACGGCGACGCCTGCCGCGCCTACGACAAGGCGCTCCACCTCCTGACGGCCGACGGCGCGGACTACGGCCCCGCGCTCTGCAACCGGTCCGCGTGCCACGTCTTCCTCGGCCGGCGCGCCGAGGCCGTCGCGGACGCGCGCCGGGCCGTCGCGGCGCGGCCGGACTGGGCCAAGGCCCGCTTCCGCCTGGGCAAGGCCCTGGCTTTGGACGACGAGGACCTCAACGGCGCCGCGAACGCCCTCGACGAGGCCGCGGGGCTCCTGCGGACCGCGCCGAAGACCAAGGCGTCGGCCGCGGAGCTCGCGGCCGTCGAGGCGGCCCTCGCGGACGTCGAGGCGCGGCTCGACGCCGCGCTCAAGGAGCCCGCCGTCAAAAAGACGGAGTGCGGCGTCGCCAAGGGCTTCGCCGCCGGCAAGCAGCTCGTGGCGAAGGTGAAGCGCGACGTCAGCCGCACGGCGCCGTCCAAGTCAGGGCAGGAAAAGGGTGATTCAACGTCGCTTCAACGTGAGTGTTCCGCGCGCGCGCGTTTCGGAAACAGCACCCACGCTTCGAGAGCGCTCCGAGAGATGATCGCTCGTCCCAAAATCAGCCGAAACGAGCGGAAAACGACCGAGATAGGAGCCTTTGAAGTTGGGAATTTCGCACCCTTTTCCTGCCCAGGTCCAAGTGCACGTGCCCCGACATCGAGGACTCCTGGCTCGACGTCGACGAGCGGCGCCGCGTCGCCCCCAAAACCAAGCACAAGCGCCCGGGCTTCGAGACGGGCGTCTTCCGGCCGCCGTCCGAGGCCGGGTCGCTGCTCGTGCGCGTGACGCGCGGCTGCCAGTGGAACCGGTGCACGTACTGCAAGATGTACCGCGACGTCGACTTCGCGTTGCGCCACGTCGACGACGTCATCGCCGACATCGACGCCGCGGCGCAGATCTACGACATCTTGACGCGGTCCGACTTCGACGATCTGGGCGTCCACGAGCTCGCGCGGCGCGGCTTCGACCGGCGGACGATCGGGTCCGTCGCCCAGCTCATGAAGCAGGACGGCGGCCTCACCTGCGCCTTCCTCCAGGACGCCGACGCGCTCTTCGCCACGGCCGACGACCTCGTCAAGATCGTCAAGCACCTGCGGGAGCGGTTCCCGACCATAAAACGCGTGACGACGTACGCGCGGTCCGACTCCATCAACGAGAAGTCGCTCGAGGAGCTGAAGCGCCTCAAGTTCGCGGGCCTCGACCGCCTCCACGTGGGCCTCGAGACGGGCTCGCTCAAGGTCACGAAGCTGTGCCGCAAGGGCGTCCTGCCCGAGAAGCAGCTCGCGGCGGGCGAAAAGGCGATGGCCGCGGGCTTCGAGTACTCCGTCTACGTCATGCCGGGCCTCGGCGGCCGGGAGCTGAGCGCGGACCACGTCGCCGAGACGGCGAAGCTCGTCACGGCCGTGAACCCGTCGTTCGTGCGCTTCCGGACCTACTGCCCCATCCCGGGCACCGAGGGCTACGACGCGTTACTCAACGGCGACTTCGAGCAGCTGAGCGAGACGGAGCACGTCCAGGAGATGCGGGACATGATCGCGGCGCTGGGGCCGACCTGCACGTCCGTCGTCACGGCCGCGGACCACATCGGCAACCTCGTCGCCGTCGAGGCGAAGCTGCCCCGGCAGCGCGGCGCCGGCCTACAGTGCCTCGACGCCTACCTGGACTGGCCCAAGGAGACGCAGGAGCGCTTCGCGCTGGGCAAGCGCCTCGGCCTCGTGTCCGGCGACCCCGCGGCGTTCCGCGACAGCCAGGAGCTCGCCATGTTCGAGGGCCTCGTGCACCACAAGTTCGGGTCGCTCAAGAACTGCTGGCGCCACTACCTCACGCGGGCGACGGGCGGCTGACCGGGCATGATGGGCCAGTACGCGTACAAGGAGCTCGCCGAGGAGCTCGTCTACCACCAGAAACGCTACTGGTCCGAGGACCCCCGCTTCCGCCACCTCGCCTACAAGTGAGAAGGACCGGCTCTCGAACCATGACGGCGCGCGCCCGACGTCGACGGCGCGCGCCCGAGCGGAGCCCGCTCTAGTCTCTTAAAAGTAGCCCGGGAGCACCTCCGCGAGCTCGACGTCGTAGACGAGGAGGATGCCCTCGGGGAGCGTCGACGCGACGCCCGCGGGCGCGAGGTTCGCGGGCACGAGGAGCCGCCGCTTGCCGCCGGCCTTCATGCCCCGGATGCCCTCCTCGACGCCCTCGCAGATGACGTTCTGGAACGGCCGCTGGCCGTACTTGAAGGCCACGGGCTTGTCGTCCTTCGTGTCGAAGATGACCTTGTCGCCGACGGAGACGCGGACCTTGAGGCCGACGACCGCTCCGGGAAGCGGGCTGTCGCCGGCGCGGCCGACGAGCGACTCCGTGTATTGGAGGCCCGACGCGGTCTTCACGAGCTCGTTCGCGCCGGGGATGGGCTCCGAATTCGTCAGGCCCTTGAAGATCTCGCCGCCCTCGACGAGCGCGAGCACCGCGAAGACGCTCAGGCCGCCGACGAGACCGAAGCGCCGCGAAAGGCCCTGCGTCGCCGAGAGCACCGGGTCGAACTGGTTGAAGCCGCCCTCCGTCGCGGCGCCGCCGACGAGCTTCGACACGTCGTAGCGGCCCGGGCCCGTCGGCTCCTCGACGGCTGGCTCCGATTCGATGGCCGCCTCCTCCTCCGTCTCCGGCGTCGACCGGCGCGCAGTTTTTTGGGTCGCGAGGGCGCGCGGCGGCGCGAAGGCGTCGACGGCAGTGAGGGCGGCGAGAGCGATCACGGTTAGCTTCATGGCTGGCGGGTCTGAGATGCAAGAATCAAGCGTGGCAGGGCGTCTATCGTGAGAGGCTGTGTCAGACCGGGGCAATGATCACTGCCTTTTGGGCCGACAGCCGATGTTTCAGCCGCTGGAAATCGACGATGTCTGGCCCTCGCGCCGGCTGTACTGCAGCGATTTCGACGCGGTAAAGCCCTAACGTTCCACACATGGACCCGACGCGTCGGTCTGCCTATTTTTTTCCGGCGCGCGGCGCGTCTGCGCGCGAGGAACACTGGTGGTGGCGACACGGAGCGACTGCAATCGGTGCGGTCCAGCGTTTCTGCGCGCCCACTGGCTTCGTAGCGTGCCGTTTTGCGATGGGAGCTGCTTTGTATATGTCTCGACGTGTTCCAACCCGCGGGTGCGCTGGGAGACGGATTTCGCACGCGCTCGCGACCTCGACGCGGTGGCGCGAACGCTGTACCGAGATCATGACGTGCTTTTGTACGTCAAAACAGACTTCTCCGAGAGCGCGCGAGCTACGACGGCTGACGAACGGGCCCCTACGACTCGCCCAAGGTGTCGGACGCGTCCCTGCGACTCGTTCTGGCTTGCCGACGGTTTCGGGGTCGTTTTCGGTGCCCGAGAGGCGCTGTTTTCGCCGACGAGAAAACGCTGCCGTCGCGCGGTCTTTTTGGCCGGACCGTCGCGTATGGTCATGCCGACGTGCGCGCGGCCCTTTAGAGCGCCGAAAACGACTCGTGTGTCGTCGCGTAAGGGTCGGTTTGGGGCTGGATTCCCTCTAGGGATCGGACGAACGCCATCCGATCGCTGCAACACCCTCACAACTGGGCGTGAAAGTTTGCTGGGCCCTTCCTTAGGCGTACCCGCCGGTGCTTACCAATTTTT